ATGAAGCTTTGCATGTATCCTGCATAGTAATAGCAAAGGGATTTCTGCATACTGTGAAAGTCTGAAAGTCTGTAGGAAGTTTATGGTGAAGGTTTTCTAATTTTTTCTCTCAGGATAGCTTATAAATGGTTTCGAAGTTCTGTTAAAGTATTCAATTTCTCCATTACTTTGAGGGTGGTGTACTGGTGATCTTTTCTCTTTTCTGTAAAGCATTTTTCTTCCATACACAAATTTCATAATATGAAGTAGTAAATTCATTTTTTTTATACTGACTCCTGTAGGATTTGTTCTTCACTGAAAACAGGACACTGAGAAGTAATCGCAGTAGGAACCACGACTATAAGGGTAGGAATGACTAGCAGTCAGTGTTGCATTCCAGGCTCCTACCCCATACTAAGTAAATGAGGATGATCTGGCTGATTATTTGGGCAATCCTCCCTCTTCCTGCTTATGGTCATCTTGTTTGTATTTTCTTCAGAGGGTTGGGACCTATAAGCAAGCCTCAAAAATAAGACTTGTCATTTTTCTCAAGTCCGAACTCAAATTGTTGCTTCTTTTCAAGAGATAAACACTATCATCTTTTATTACAGCTGGTTTGCACCATGTCTCTCTGAGATTAATTTGAGTATCTATTGAAGCAATACTCAATATTTTGCACCTAATGTTTATGCATTGCTGAAGGGGAAAGCATCTTTTGTATCTTCAATTGTATGGCCCGAATCAGATTTTATCTCTGTTGCGAAAGTTAAGCACCCATGTGGCTTTGATAAAGTCTGTGGTCTTTATAAACTGTAATTTATGTAAGGTACAGGGAATATTAAATATAATGACATTACATGTAGAGAACACTTTTTTCAATGATGATGGGGTGGTCTACATAATTATAGTATTTAAATAACGGATTAAAAATTCTACACCTCATCAGTATTAAAAAATCAGTGTTCTAGACCATTTGGGACAGGCTTTGTTCTTGGTCAGATGGGAGGAGAGAAGGGGGAAGAGCAGTATGATCCAAGACCAGCACTGGCAAGTCACACACAGCCACTGGTGGTAAAAACAAATAGACCATGCAAGAGGTATTCACTCTTTTTTCCCCCTCTCTTTTCTCAATATATCTGCTTTGTGCAGAATTGCCAGATTCTTGAATGTCACAGTTGAAGAGGAGTTTGTTTAGAGACACAGTAAAACCCCAGATCTTCTCCTTTCCATTTTCTCTCTCTTTTTTTTTTTTTTGTTTCCATCTTTCGATTTTTTTGGCACTTCTCCCTCCACCACTTCTTTAGAAAAGTCTAATATGGAAAAATAATACTTGTGCTAATTTACCTTAATATTTTGAGTGGTAAATGGAAGCAGTTCACCAATGGCTTCATGAGCAGCTGGGGATGGGAACCACTGAAAGAGCTGCAAGAAAAACTCCCTCCACCTGTGTGTCAGAGTCTTTGGAACTATGATAGTCCAAGACGTAAAGATTGGTTGGGACTGGTCCTAAGGCCCTTCAGTTACTGAGCCCTAATAGATATTTTTAATAATTAAAACGGTGCTTAATGAGAGGGTTTAGAAGCAAAATGAAGATTTGAAATGCTGTGACTAAACTAGATACAATGTGAAATAAAGCAGACCGTGCTCTTTTTTGGAGAAAACTGTTTGGATTAGAACTCTTGCCTGTGGCAGTCCTTCTGTCCAGTTGCCTATTAAGGACTAGAATCAGAATAAGAACACATCCCTTAAGTGTTCTTCAGTGCTGTTCAGCCTTGTCTCTTCAGCTTCCTACAAGTTCCCCACTATCTTATGTCCAACAGTGAGGCATCGCTTGGCTACAGTTCTGGGGTCAGTGTTTTCCCCTTTCTTAGCTGAGAGGAGGGGTTCAGAAAGCAGATAGAAAGGAAAGAAGATCTTCTCTTTCAGAATATGAGTGCGAACAGTGGTCCCCTGTTCACTAATTCATCTCACTGGAAGTGTATTTTCATATCTATTTGTATTGCTCTCTCATTTCAGTGTCATTAATAAATATTTCCTACTAATCAGAGAAACTGAAGCTCAATCATTGAAATAAAGGATACATGGGAAATTAGATCTTAAATAATGTGAAACATCTATAGGGGACCATGGGGTGGCAGGGAGGGGAAACGGCCAGTGGCAAATGCAGAGAAGCTGCCTGAAGAGGGGAATGAAAAGCCAGACAGAAATAGTAGGCACCTAGAAAACGGGGACAAGAAAAAGACTGATGATGTAAAAAAAGGAGCAGTGAAGGAGGAGAGAGAATTTTCGGTTCTTTTCTACAAAGGATTTTCAAAGAAAATGCCTGTTTACTAACAATGACATTCTGCATTGTATTTTAGTGTAGCACCAGTCAAGTAAAATCATGTCTGTGTGGTGCATTAGGAGGTAGGAGAGGGATGGAGTGGCTGTATTGACAGGTAGGATAAGAAACTTGGAAAATCTGGGTAGATTTTCATTATCTGATTGTTTGAAATAGCTTTCTACCTTCCACAGCCTGACTGAATTCTGATTTGCTGCATCGCATCATCAAAGACAAATCACAGTGTTACTTCTTATCTAGATTAGAAACCCGGCTTCTCTGATATTCCAACCTGTGGATTTCTTACAAAAGAAAGAAGTTCTGAAGGGATGGGGGAGGATGACACAGATCCCACGTTTGAACCCTAGTGAGATTTTTACTCTAAAGTAAAACTAAATTCCTCCTTTGATATTTTGATTAGCCACAAAACAAAGCTGCAAACTACCCCTTGCAAAAGGGACCATCGGAGTGTTCTGATGAGTTTTATTTGGCAGAATTGGGGTCAGAGTGAATTATGGCAAGTGGTTTCTTTGTGCTGCAAAAGGAAACTTAAACTGTCTTTGAATATGAAATAGGAATATTCACGTTGTCTGTGTACTATTTAGATAATATTCTGAAATGTTGTTGGTTTCTCTACATGCTTGTTACTTCTGCAGGTGGCCTTTGTAGGTATATTGCTTAGAAACCAAGTGCTAACTGTTTTGATGAGCCCTCTATCACATCGGTATTAGTTCACTCGCTCAAAATCTTTATCAACAGGGATGGTACAAAATGAAAATAAGCACACACTTTATTTAGATTCTTGTTATGGTTAGTAATAAAGTCAAAGAAATTTTATGTTTTCCTGGGGGAAAACTTTTCTTTTCCCTGCTTATCTGCTCACTGCACAAAGAGCCACTCACATATGGTGAACTCCTAGAGTTTACAACAAAGCTGCCTTCTCTTCTTGGGTTGGTTTTAGTGGGGCTGAGCCATTCTTCAGGAGAGCTGATAAGTCAAACAAATGGTTTTAGTCTTTTCCAGATGGCGATAAGAAATTAATGCTGCCAAATTGGTAACTTGTTTGTTGATCTTTTAGCATTTACTGTTGTAAGCCTTCATCTTGCACAGAAGTAGTGGTGTACACTAGTGCTGAGGTTATTTCTTCTCATCAGGAGCAAGCTGCTAATCTGATCATGGCTTGTTTTCTATTTTTTCAATTACTATCTGGAAAATTCCTACCATGAATATCCATAAGACCACCATGAAAATCTCCTTAGAAAATAGATTTGCTACCTGATAGCATCATATTTCCAGGAATGTTGTTGAGCAGAAGTAAAATCTACTAAAAGCTTTTTTTTTTGAGATCCCGTGTGAGTTACATATTGATGCTGTGTCAGGTCAACAGAGCATATTTATGGGAAGAAATAAATATGTGCATACCGCTTCCTTAAGTGCTATTCTTAGATGCTTGAATTTATTCAGATACGTGGGTGGTATTCTTAAAATTTTGAAATTATACTACATGCTTACAGGCTTTCATCTCCCATAGTACGCTATTTGCTATCAATTACAAAAACGTCAAAAGGTAAAAATTTTGTCATTCAGTAATTCAGAACTCTGCTAACCTTGTGAACGTTCTGAGCCCCGTTGCCAAAAATCTTTGTCTGTCCAACCAGTGAAATCGAATGTCAAATGGCTTTTGGCATGCCAGATACAAACGAGATAAGCAAAGAATCTTCTATCCATTTTCTATTCTTCAGGGACTTATCTCAAACGTCAGGGTTCACACCTCGCATTTGCCAGTTTCCCATTCTGCTTAATGGGCATGGGTTAGCCTCCTTTGCAGAAAACATTTGATAAACTGGCTTGCTTTTCCATCAGTTTAGTTTTATTTTCATTACTTTTCCCTATAATTCGTTTATTGGATTCTGTATCTTTAGAAAATTTTATTACTCTGTTATTCAAGCTAAAAAATAGCTAATTTTTCTTTCCCAAATGAGTTGCTTGAAGCAAAGTACCTATGAATACATGGGTATTTTAATTCACTTACTAAATGTATACACAGAAAATTTACAAGCAGCCTTTTTACCATTTTTTAAGTGTCTGCTGACTGTTGCATAAGCTAAATTATTTACAGTATGATGCCTCACAAAAGAGTTGCAGATTTGGGTTATTTACTTTTCTGATAAGAAAAAGGGATTGAAGTTGCTGTGATATGCTGCTTTGTTAATTTTACATTTGTTCCCTAGTGTGTAAAATCTTTTTAAAGAACCAACATGAGTATTGGCAGACTCTTTTGAAATGGTATGGACGTGCTAAGATTAAACAAAACATGAAAAGGTCTTAAAAATATAAGTCAGCAGTGTTTGATAAAAATAAAAGTGCCCTACAATAGAGAACTTTTAGGATGCTTAATTTATTTGCTCTCTGTTTGAGGATTGCTCCTGCACTCCATCTGAGAGTAGTTCTTGTGAGTTATGTGTTTTGAATGAAACCAAGCTGAGTATATTGAAACAGTGTGTTTGTACAGTATAATGAAAGCCATTGAAAATGGTCACGCTGAAGATCTCCCCTTAATGAGGAGATTAAAATCCATGGTGAGGTTGAAGAGTGGAATTTGCAGCTGTGTGCCTCGACAAGATCCTTTGCATGGAACGTGTCAGTCCTCACCATTTGCAGATGTGTAGAGTCTTCACAAGGTTTCTTTCTGCCCGTGCAGGTGCCACGGACCCGTCTGACACCATGGCTCCCGTCATTGTAATCCCTCCGCAGAATACCAGCGTTGTAGCAGGGAGCAGTGAGATCACGCTGGAGTGTGTGGCCAATGCCAGGTAACAGCCGCAGCGGGGTTGTAAGGAACTCATTTTAATGCACCGTCCTTTTCTAAGAAGGACGTAGGAAGTTATTTTCATTTTTTTATTAATTTAATGATTGAAGCAGAATGCTTGCTCTTCAGAGTAACCTTATAAATAATCTTGTTTGTCCAACATTACTGAATTAAACATATTGATTTTTCTGGCCAAATAAGGATACTGGCAGTTATGTTCCCACCTGTTGCTCACACAGGAAGGAAAAGAAGTATAGTGTTGTTCCATCAGCAGACATTAGCTTAAGGAAAAAGTTATGTTAAGGGTTAACAATATTTCAGCTGTATTGCCTGTTGACATGAAAGGTGATGTTGTTAAACAGTCTGTGCTTCCTAGTAAATAAATTAGCGAGGATCTCCTATGAAGTAATTTATTACAGATGCTCTCATTTTACAGTGATTATTGCTCAACTGTTCATAATGCACCATAATATAGAGTTCACAGCATTTCTCCTATATTTCCATCTAGTTGGCCTTGAATAGCATTGAATTCCGGTGGAAGTGAATAGTTGAGGTCCTGAGATAAGACCAACTGATTCACTTTCCCCTCTGAGGGCAGAGATGTTCTTGATATGATTAATACTGTTTTGGTAATTGAGTTGTAATGAAAGCACTTCCCATGCAGCTGATTCCCATAGCAGTATTTAGATCTTTTGCTTCAAGAATTCAAATTATTAGCACTTAAGTTCTATTGCTGTATCAATTAGCTGTACCTGCATAATGCCACTTGAGTAGTCTGAAGTCTTGATGTGTAGAAGTTATATATGCATTTACTTCTTAATAGTGAATGGGGCCTACAGGAAGGGTGGGAGAGGGACTCTTATCAGGGAATATAGGGATTGGATGAGGGGTAACGGCTTTAAACTGGAAGAGGGGAGATGTACAGAAGAAATTCTTCCCTGTGAGGGTGGTGAGGCCCTGGCACAGGTTGCCCAGAGAAGCTGTGGCTGCCCCCTCCCGAGAAGGGTTCAAGGCCAGGTTGGACGGGGCTGTGGGTGACCTGGGCTAGCACAAGTTGTCCCTGCCTGTGTTAGTGGGTTGGAACTAGATTATCTTTAAGGTCCCTTCCAACTCAAACCATTCTATGATTCTATAAATGTCATAATATCTGTATAACTGCAGACAAGATTATTCTGTAATATATATGTTTTGTGGTATTCCTTTGTGCTTATTTTTTTTAAACCTCGACAGACCTCTTGAGAGACTAAGCATTACCTGGAAGAGAAACGGAGTAAAAGTAACCACTGGCATTAGCAGTTTTGGGAGACGACTCACTATCACCAACCCAACCTCTGCTGATGTGGGAATGTACTTCTGTGAAGCAAAATTGAGAGACAACACAGAGGAACCAGCAAGAGCGAAAGCCTTCCTTTCTATAATGGGTAATTCTCAAGGCAACGTGTTTTTTAGTAAAGCAGGCTCTAGGCTGAGGTATAATAGGAAATAAAATTGATATCTTAATATTTCATTGACCTTACATTTGAACCTTTCTTCGGAGAACAGAACAAAGGAGGTGAAGGAGGGTTATCTTCCAAATTAAACAGTGATGTGATTCTGAATACCCTGTGAAACTATACATTTAATCAGAAGTTGGAGAAATGTAGTAGTAAAATCCTTATTGGGCATCTTCCACATTTTGGCTTTTAGATGCATTAAATCCTGATTAACTCCCAGATTGCTGACATCTAGTTTTAATATGTCAAGTGCCTGTATTTCCGAAAGAAGCCTTTTAGGAGCACTTCTGTGATGTTGTCTGCTGCAAGTGCCAGTCAGGGGGCCAAGGACGTTCCTGAGCACACAGGCAGGCAGATATCATTACTGAGGTAACAAAAAGGAGAAAGAAATACCTTTAAAATAGGTGCTACGTGCTAGACCTCCGACTCTGAGGAGACCTCGGTTTTAATATTTTTAAAGGGACATTGGTGCCCTTCCACTGCCTGTTCCCACTGTCACCTCTGTGTTGGAGTTTTGCCGTAGCAAGGTTCTAATTTAGAAATGGTAGTTGGCATGCATGTCATATCCTGATATAATAATGCAAATTAGCACACGGCACACAATGTAGAGGTTTTTAGGACTTTTAGAATAAAAGAGATGTTTAAAGCATTTACATGTCTTAAGCCAGAGCTGATTGCGTGAAGTCTAGCTTTTGTGTAAGAGTCCCAGTAACAATTGTGCAAGTGTCCTGGAGAGGTTATTGCTCTGGCAATGCTACAAGTCTGGCATTGATCAGAATTCATGCACATGCATTTCTGTGCAATGCATCGCAAGAGGGAATTCAGCAGACAATTCTCTACACTCTTTTGGCTTTCTGAAAATACAATTTTAAAGACTGCTGGATGGTCTGTATTCTACTAAAGCAATTTATAGTGGTTCGTGCTAAATGAGAAAACAGCTCTTCTCTCTGCAAAGCTCTGTTCCAGGTTCATTTGTAGCACTGTGTCTCTATATTTATTATCTGCTGGATGAAGTTTGGTTCCAGTCTTTCTCTTTGTATTCTGTTTCTTAGAATTATTAGCTTGCGCCTTCCCTTCCCTTTAAGGAGCAGAGACAGATTTCACTTATTTATGTTTTTTGTTTAAACTCTTCCTTATTCATAAGATTTTATTGTAACTAGTTTAACTCTGCTGCTATGCTGTCAGATCCAGTCTAACACAATACTTAAAGGAGTCTCTTGGTTAATGTAAAAGATTCTTAAATACAGTTACAATAAAACTGAGGAACAATCATTGGGGAATCATATTAAACTAGCCGTGCTGCCTTTCTTTAGTAGCTTATCTGCTCTCTTATTTTTAAATGTTTTATTTATTTCTTATCCAGTTTTAGGAGGCTGTCAGGGAATGAAGTTATGAAAAGGCCTGTAGATAAGAACAAGCAGATGAAAGAAAGCAGAAACAAATTGGTTACCAATTACTTTTATTTCCTTCTGATGGAACAAGACACTTCAGTTGCAGGTGTTTACTCAATGTGTCAGCAAAGCCTGATAGATTTCTTTATTTATAAGTTTCTTGAGCTGCAGGATGGATCTCAAATTCTAAACAGGAAGCCAAATCAAAGGATTAGTAGTTAATACACAAATATATTCAACCTTAGAACTCTTGGATGGATCTGGTCATTATTTAATTAGCCAAGGGATGGGTTCTAGAGGAAAGTGCAGACAAGATTCAAACCTAAGGATTTTTGTGGTGTATCCCTCATATTAAGTAGTACTTACGAAGAATCAAGTATGCTTATCCATTTGCGTACATAAAACATTTGTAGTGTGTACATGTTGATAGTGACCTGACAATGAGCCGTACTTCTTGGGAGGATAACACAGTGTGGACTTAATAAGGGATCTTGACTAACAGAAAAAGGAAATTGTGTTAATAGAAGAGGTTTGTATTCGAAGTGGTTTGGAATAAATCAAATATAGACCCTCAATAGTATGGTGATGAGAGCCTTTGTTAATAGAAAAAAGTATTTTGCTATTAACAGGTAGAATAAAGGTAGCGATAGAAAGATGCATCAAAGATATTACAAATACTGAGTTAATCAAAGCTTTTTTACAAATACATTAGTCCTTGCCTTTCCTAAGGCAAGTTGCACAGCTTGAGTGTGGGCTCAGATGATGACGAGCTTTATTAGAAGGCAGTGGAACTTAGCACAAAAGCATGTACTCAGTTCAAATTATTATTTGTGACCTACAATATTATCTCTGATTTTTTTCAGAATATTTGTGAGAGTATATTTCAGTTTGTAAATTAAAATCACAATAATATTTGAAAAATCTGAATCTCTAATGTAATAAAGTATTATACATAAGCAAGAAGAAAATTCTATAGTCTGGTGCTACACTGCAATTTTCTTCTGAATGTCACAAAGAGCTTTCTGACATCTTCATATTATTCCAGCAAAGATAAACTGAAGTGGTTCCAAACCCTGGTTTTATTAGCTGCAGTTGTTATAAATTTTTTAAAGGTAGCATGTTCCTCAGTTGGAACAGTAAGAGTTTGGAAAGATTTGTTGCAGATTAGATAAGAGCACATTTGTTTTATCACTAACAGTTTGAAGATTAAGTAATTTAAGGAGTCTTCTCATGAGCAAACCAATTTGAAAACTGAGCTAATCTTAAATTCTTTTGCTCCAGTTCCGCAAGTTCCGTTAGCAACAGATTGCAATAGTCATTTTCAAAGTGACTTTTCCATGGGAAATTATGAATTTTAGCTTAAGAAAATTAGGAATGAAACCCTTCCATTACATTAAATCCATACTACTCTTTAAATCAGATGCAGTCAGAAAGTAAAAACCGAACAAACTGAGAAGAAAAACAATTAGAAAGAATGGCCTGCTGTGATGAGATGTTGAAGCCCCGTTGGTCTGGCCAAAGGAATAGGATGCAACAAAGCAGAAGCACAGCAGAGAGCTTCCCTTCTTCTTGATGCAGTTTTGTGTCCAGAACAACTACAGTAATAGACATATTATTCTTATCTTGCTGTTTCCTAGAGAGAATATTTACATCCCAGCTGGACAGGTCTCTTTCTGAAAATAGGACAATAAGGGAGTGTGGTAGATCTGTCTGTCTCTTACTGCTACTCTCTTAAAGATTCTCATCAGGTGTGGATAGAGCTTCATGGGTTCCAGGAGCACATGAGAAAAATTCTCATGTTAATATGGAGGCCTGCCTGGCTAGGCTCCGAAATGAACTGTAAGGATATTCCTCCTTCACTCTACTTCTCCCGGAGCAAGCGTGGAGGTGCAGAAGGGCCTTCTTTGTGCATTGACATCGTTCACGAATTTGCATTGACTGTATATACAGCAGCCTGAGCAGAAGTTATTTTCCTCTGCAGTTAGCCACCTGGATACCTTGTGCTCAGATCTCTGGAAACAAGAGCTCCGGAGGCTCTAGCTTAGACATTTTGAAATGCTACAAATGATGTCTTTAAAGCAAAGGAAATAATTTTTTGTGATGATTGTGTTCATGGATTGAGCTTAAGAAAAGACCATGATGACTGCATTCATGTACTGTCTGTAAGAAAAGAATAAAAACTCTGGGGGAAAAAAGCAGAGAAACGTTGACAAATTTTGATTTGGCAAGGCTCAGAGGTTCTTGAGATGGACACAGCCTCGGCCCAAATGCACACAGGACCTACACCACAGTGAAGTAAGGGGACTTCTGGGAAGTCCAGTTCTGTCTCGGACGTTCAGAAGTTCCCCCTTCTTTCAGTTCTGCAAAGGGGAGATGCGTCCCCTGTGCTGCTGTAAGGTTTTAGAACACACAGACTGCAGCTCATAGTAACAAACTAAGAGTACCTTTTCATCTCTCTCTGTTATAACCTGATATTCATGCAAAGAAAGATCCTGCTCCAAGGAACCTGTTACAGTTGCATACACAAGGCAGCTTCTCTTCCAGCACGGACGTCTGATCTGTCTGGAGTTATGGACTGCGTACCTACGAGGCACTCTCAAGTTTCCAGTTCCCCATTCGTTACAGGGATATTCACTGAATATTTTAGTTTATGGTAATGCTAGGGAAAGGCTTCCATGTTTAAGGCTCAATCTTCCTCTCAAATACGCAGGCCTGAATTTCTGAGTGATGCAGGAATTTCGGCTTTGGAGGAGCCCCAGGGGCTTTCTCTGTTCTTTCTGACTTTCATGCATGTATCTAGGATTAGGTCACACATATCCAATGCAGCTTGAAGGGTATATAATGGATGCTGACTGCTATCTTTTGAATGTTAAAATCAGTGACCATGTAACTCTGCGTGGGGGAAGTTAGAACAGTATCAAATTTTGCTGGCTCCCAAGGGCTGTGCAGAGAGGCTATCTTTTCAGTGATGTATGTAGTGCAAAAAACCCTGGAAGTCTCAACAACCGTTAAAAGCATGCATTTATATTCAAATATTCCTTTTCCCCTTTGCTTGTTCTTGACCTTTTAGTTAAGATCAAACACCAATACAGTATCCTAACAATACAGTATCTGTTTCTCTCGGTCTGATATGAGATGTGACCCCTCTCATTGCATAGCTTGCTGCACTGCCGGCGGGGTGAACTCAGTGTAGTGGGTCCTTCTCTATTCTAACCATTGTGATTCTATAATTTCAAAAAAATTAAATGTTTGACCCGATACCAACAGACTACTGTCATTCCTAAGAACTGCTGTGTCTGGGGGCTTGTGTCTGGCATGTTATATAGTTTGGAAGGCATTGTAATTTCACCGCACATATTAAATTTCAATACATGATTATTGCCTACAACAATAAATGTTCAAATTCATACTGTGTGATTCAAACCAAGCCTTATAAATATGCATTAGAGTCATATATACAGACATCCAGAACGCCCATTCAGAATGCCATCTGACCCCTGTAAGTACTGCTGCATTTTCATAGCTTCTTTCTGATAGTGTTCTCCAGGTGGAGTATAGCACCCAAATTGAGATACCCTGAATTTTTCAATTGCAATTTATGCTGGGCCGACAGGCCCTCAGGCACACACCTGATGTGCAGGTGATACATTTGACTCTTCTGAGAAGCTGAGAGCCTAGATTTCAGCTGTCTAGACTCTGTAACTAGAGCTGTTTCTTCTGCAGCCTGAATTCTGTGGAAGCCATAGACTCTCACAGCAAGGGACCTTTTGAGCACCCACGCTGCTAGTGTAAAACACATGCATGTGGAAAAGCAGCACAGTTTCATTTCTCTCAAAGCCCTACACAAATACTGCTGTGATCACCAAGATTAATTTTCCATGTGCATTAGATTTAGGATGCCACAGCACTATTGTCCATGTGGTATTCTAGATCTTCCAGAATTCCCTTATGAATTAGTCTTCTCATCCAGGCTTATCTCTAACTCCAGACAGCAGAAGCACGTAGTTAACAATCAGTAAATTTGTAGACCTGCTTTTGGAAGGTTTTCTCTATCTGTGCTTATCATGCAAGAATAAGATCTGACCCCTCTATGCACAGCTGTTGCCTCAGCCTCTCAACCCCTCTATGTCAATTATAGCAATTGGCAGGGCTTCCAGCTGCTGGAATGCTGTGAGAATTGAGTTCAGTAGGCTTTAGTGTAAGGGAAAAGGTAGTTTGGGCACGAGGAAGACTGGAAATTGTGCCTGTTGGCACACCTACATCCTGAAAGTCCTCTGGGAGTTGCCTATGTCCTTTAGATTGCATCTTTCTGCTGTTCCTGCTCTTTCTCTGTCTTGTCTGCTTTCGTGTCTTCCTGCTTCCTTCAGAAGAAGCTGATGTGAATCTTCTTTTTATAACATCACAGTCCAATTTGCTAAGTGACAGTTGTCACTGACTTCAAGTTCCTTGTCAGGTAATTCATTGCTAGATACCTGCTCACCTAAGCATCTCTTAATGTAATAAGTTTCTCTGAGGATGGCATAACAGCCTGTATGGGATTTGAAGGAAGGCACACAGATTGTAGGATAGGATTTTGGGAGAGGCACTGGGAGAGCAGACTGTATAAATATGCCAAGTATAACTGCAGAAACTGTGTGCAATGGTAGTACATAAGCAGTGGTCATGGCACCACTAGCATCTTTGAGGTCACATTAAGTGCTTTGCAGCTGGACTGCAGACCCATGCTGAAGATAAATCTGCAAATTTATCACCGGTGTGTGAATATGTTGCTGATGTAGGAGAAAGTTTGAGAGCTGGCAGCTGAAGGTTGCCAAGTTTAGAAATTGCCCCATTAAGGTCAGAGTGCCTTATAAAAGGGGGGGGAAGGAACTCCCTAATAGGAGACAAATGCACTTGAATCTCACTGACTGAAGAGACATCCATAGGCGCAGCCCAAAGTTAGAAATGAATGTCTGGATGTGGGGGTATGTGTCTGGATACTGTCTTGTTCCTGTGCTACTTTGGCCACCTTTCCCCTTTTCCTGCCCTAAAAATCAAATTAATTTGTCATAGAACAAAAGATTCAAATTTTACTTTGCGAGATAGACAGAGGGACACTTACCTCTGTGTCCACAGACAGATGCATAGGTAAGTAAGGTTACTACACTGCAAGTTCAGAAATTCAAAAGATAAAATTCTGGAAAATGGGGTGCAAGGAAAATATCACACAAGGCTTGGAAGATGGCATGAGAATAAAGAGAGTACTCAGAGTTAAAACATGTACTTAGATGAATTGCGGAGGGCTCAGCAACTTAGTTGATCAAACATGTCAAACACAGTGTGCTATCAGTGAATTTCAATTAAATGTTCAGCTCTTCAATTTGTTGTTTAGATTAACGCATGAGATCATATGCAATAAATCACAACTTATTATGCATGTTTATTAATAGCTTTATATTTAGGCAGCAAGGATCAATAATGTTAACACATGTATATTATTAGAATATAATAAATCAGGTAGTTTTATTGGTTTTGCTGGGTAAATGAGTATTCCAGGCTATTTTGCAACTTCACCACCTCCTCTGCACAGGATTTTGAAGACTAATATTGATTGACTTTATTTGGAATGAATACAGAATTGTAATATCTATTGGTACTCAAATGAGACCCCAGTTCTGTGCACTTAAGCAAGTATTTTATTGTAGTTAGTGGGAAGGGGTGCTGGGAAAGGGGGGGTTGCACTCTAATCAGACGCTTGCTGATGTGTACCTGATTGCATGTCATGTCATCCCTGTGAAATAGTAGCAACACTTGCTACATTACAGGTTGTAGCAGGAGAAATAATATTTTGCAGGATAAAATTATGTGAGTTTTGTTTTATTTATGAAAATGCTAACGGCCTATCAATAATACAAACTACACATCTGGTTTTCAAACATAGTTGGTGAAGAGATTTAAGAGGAGGTCAGGTCAGATGACCTTGGATCTTGTTGTAGCTTACTACATTTTTTCAAACTTGATTTACTTAAAATGAAAATATGAGTAAATTGTTCTCACAAGCTACTTATATTGTCTTTCTGTATTTTCTAAAACTCTCCAGAGAGTTTGTCTATGCTACAACAGAGCTCTAGTTATAATCAAATAAAATGCTTCTAAAAACAGTATTCAGATGATAATTGCATTGAACAGACTATGACAGTTTTTAGTTACCGTGATAATTACTGCAACCTTAATGCCTGTGGGACTTTGACATGATGCTCTTCAATTTTGTGCTGCATAGAAGAAAGAGTTACATGACAGCATACTCTACAATTTCTGGAATCGTTTCTTTGTTTAATTAAATGTCTAATATCTTTTAGTCCTAATGATAAAGTGTGGATTTTTATGATTATTACTATAACTTCAATTAAAGCATTAAATCTGTTTGCTTTCAAGAAATATAACAGTTGAGAAGATTTTTTTTTAATTATGCCTCACTTGTCCTCTGATGTTGGCTCTCTGACATGCTGTGGCACTTTATTTGATATGCTTCATGCCTTCGCGAGGTGGAATTTAGTTTAGATACTGAAGCAAACTGTCCTATAAAATGCTATGTTGTAAATATAAACCTTTATAAACCTCTCGGGATGGCCTTTCTGAACAAAGAATTAGAATGTTCCATGATTTAGGCCTATAAACTGAAAAGTAGCCCCTGCTCTGAGTATTAATTTGCAGTGCAAACCCCTCAATCTTATCTTACATTGACTTGACGCTTTGGAATTCATAGTCAGCATAGCAAAAAATCGTTGACTTTTTAATGATGCTTTTACTATCAAAAAAAAACACCTCCAAGTAGAGGGAACTTAGACAACTACTCTATTTGTAACACACTATATTAAATACAACACGTGCGGAGAGATTATATGATGAATATCTTTAAATCAACACCTATTTTTCATTTTGCTGTGGCTTTGTTTCTTTACATTTATTTGCTTTCCCTGCTCTAAAGAACCACCATATTTTACGGCTGAACCAGAGAGTGTGATTTTGGCTGAGGTGGAGAAAGACGTGGACATCCTGTGCCAGGCAATGGGTGAGTGTGCAGACATGTTCAGACTTGGATGAATGACATGTGTATGTCCAGTACTGAAGAAAGCATCTTATATAAATGTTTAATGTTTTAAGGTCTCTGCAGTCTAGTGGAAGGTGTCGCTGCCCATGGCAGGGGGGTTGAAACTAGATTGACCTTTAAGGTCCTTTCCAACCCAAACCATTTTGTGATTCTATGAAGCAAGCTTGTAAGGATGCTCCAGCTGATTTGGAATTTCAGAAGCCTTTGATGAGATGTCTTACAGAAATGAAGCTATCAGGTTATAAGAGACAAGGTCTTGTTGTTAATTAATAGCTTTCTAAAAAAAACACAGCAGGACCTGCTGTCAGTGGAGTTCCCCGGGAATCTCTGCTGGAACCTGTGCTGTACAACATATTCATAAATGCCGTGGTGGAAAAGAGGGTGAATAGCAAGATGGTAATATTTGCTGATTATATGAGATTATTCAAGAAAATCAACATTAAAACTGGCCACAGAAGAGTTGCAGAAGGTTCTGATGATTTGAAATGGTCAATAAACTGTCAGATGACATCATTAACAGAGATGAAATTTCCTATTGCTATGCAGAAAATATATGTCTTCTGAAAACATCAGTTCAGTGCCAAGCCATGGTTCAAAACGTTAGGTACTGGGAAGAAAGGAGTAGAGAAAAAGTAAGAGAATGGCACTGTATGAATCCATGGGACACCCCTGTCTCAAATACTTCTCACAATTCTCATCACTCTATAGGAGAGAGGGATGTAGGAAAAGCAGAAAAGATACACAAAAGTAGGAATAGTGTAATTAGAGGTCTACCATGGGTTATGAATAACAAAAAATTAAATTGACTCAGACACTTTGTGAAAGAGATAACTGAAGGATGGGTGCCATGTGGGAAGGCGAGTAGGAGAGGACGATTCTGTATTGCTTAGTGTAAGAAGTAGAGGATGCACACAGCTAAATTTTTAGGCAGACTTGTACAATGAAGGAAAGATAGTGCCTTTTCAGAAAACAGGCTGGAGGTCATTGGTCCAGGCAGTAGCGAAGATCAGGCATAAAAATCATTTAGAAAAACAAACAAAATTTATGGAAGAAAAATCCAGTAAGGACTATTAAACACAGCTATGTGTATGCAATGTCTGGCTCAGGAAATAGCTAAAGCACAGATTATTGGAGCTGAGAAGGTGGAAATAGCATTCTGTCCTTGGGCTGCTCTTGTGTTTTGTGCCTGAGCATCCAAGACAAGACAGTTTCAAAGGAAGGAAATGTCACTAGATAGACATTTATTCTGGCCATGTGCCACCAGCTTTATGTTTCAGCATGTGTTATGATAAATGTATTGACTTTTTTTTTTTTATTGGAGACAATTTTTCAAATATCAGAATTAAAACAAAGTATTGTATCATTAGAGAAACTGAGTTAAACATTCTGAGATTTTTTTGAGAAATGTCTCAGTCCTATACAACTATTTGATAAATCTTTGGACTATCTCATTGTTACTGAAGAAAACCCAACCTGCTGTCTCATTTCTTTTTTCATATATTACAAAAAAGTCCACCCCAAAACCTGAGAGAAGAGATTGGCGTCTAACTCATCCTTCTGCTCTAACTCTTCCTTTGAACAGTTTAGCTCCCGTGGGGATCAATAGGGCACTCATAACCGTTCTCAGTAGATGAGATTTTATTGGAGATATGGGAATCCTTACTAGACAGAATTATTTATTTTTGCTGAACTCTTCTAGTGCACAGCTGATTTGCTGACGAATGTGGTGCAGGAGCATGGAAACCTGTCTTCATATGGATTATTTTGCTGAGTATCTGCAACAGATTTATGACAGGCAGATACTAATGTTAAACATCGAGGAGTTTTGATCCATTATTACACAAATCTGGCAGTTGCCAGCAATTTAAAGAGGGTAAATGAAGGTTGCTGTCTTCCCTGCTCAGAGCTAGAGTAAAGCACTAGGGGAACTGCAGAGCTGCCCTGTACCTTCCCTACAAATAGGAAGACAGATTGCATTTCCCCCAGCCCCATCAAGTTCTGTGCACAAAGCCCATTTGCCAAGTCTTGGTGCACTTTGAATGTGAGAGACAGATTCATTTCACAGTATAAATAGAGATTAACTGTAAATAAAATTGCAACTTGCACAGACTAGCTGTATACTTCCCTGTAATGGGGTTTCAGTGTATCAGACTGCGCAGTAACCATGCTCTGCTGTATATCTTTCAGCAGTTGCTGGTGCTGCCTGCATTTTGAATGGCTTTCCTTTCAATGCTTTTTCCTTATTTCCTTATAGAAAGTTTAGAGCTGCAGGCAGTGGTGGTGGTGTCTAGGGAGCGCAGTTAATTGGACTTTAGTTCTACCTGTTTAGACAAGTAGATGGAAGGATGCTTTGGGGATTCCCCAGTAGCCCACTGGGATCTCGAGAAGGCCATAAAAAATAAGTAACAAAAATGACATAGTGAATATTTCAAGTCTCTTATCCAGGTTCTTAGGTAAGTTAAATTTGGCAAAGAGTCAAGCATCTGTTTCACAGATGAGGAAACTGAGCCTCACATTGCATAAATTATTTGCCCAAGATTACTGGGAAAGTAGCAAAGCCAGAGCCAGAGTCGTATTTCCTGCCTTCCCTTCTCCTCCATTACACTAGATGACTTTGTGAAAAATGCATAAATACTGAGAAATAAGCTTATTTTATTTATTATTACTGGTCTTTAGGCCACTCTGCAATCTTTCAAACAGTAAGGTAGGACGAATACTACTTGGAAAGGTATAGTCTGAAAGGTCTTTAAAGTGTTTTCTTCTCTTCATAATTTTTTCACCAGAAGTGTTTAGAGAGGAAAAGAAGCAAAATTCCATTGTGGGTGTGGGGAGGGAGGAAAGGCCGTGGGGTAGGAGAGGGGGAGAGAAGAAAGGCAGCTGGGTTTAACCAACTTTATAGCCAAAGAAGTAGCAAAATGGTAAAAGAAAACGTGTACAACTTGGAACACAAATCTTTCTGAGAAGATCACTAAAGCCCAAATGAATGCTGCTGACAGGCATCAGAGTGCTTAGATAAGATCCTATTATTCAGACTCATAACTTTGAGTAGAGGAAGATATCTGTAAATGAAATGTAGAAAAATAGAGATTGTAATATTCAGTTTGTCAGCTGAGTTGGTGGTAGGAAGGTGTATCTCACAGTGATTATAGGATTAGAAGGTTTGCTAATACTGTTAGTAGAATGGGATTTATGGAATGACACCGATGTTAAAGGTTTGAGTGTACTAAATGCAAGATTTCATTATTTCCTAGGTGCCTATCAAGCCTAATGTGTGGGAAAATGGAGTTGCTATTATTTAAACTTGAAATCATTTCCAGGCTTCTCAGCATCAGGAGAACTATTCCATTTTGCATCATCTGTTTCTTCATTACTCAGTGATAATTTGTATTTGCCCGGGAGGATTTTCGAGAGATGAATAACACTCTCACCGAGAATTCTGAACATTGAAATTTACGCTAATTCTGTATATGGGCTGTTGTATGAAATTTAAATTATGCCTATTGCAAGCTATGACAGTACATCTATTCTCTATCAGACAATGCACTCTACATAGTGGATTTCTTCCTGAGATGATTACCTTCTAGATTATGAGTACATTTTATTTTATCAGCAGAACAAAAGCATCGGAGGTGATTGTAGTAAATGACACATGTTTATAGAAGTAACAGCAGCAACTGAATGTTGTTTTTCAACCGTTCCATATATTGTTTGTACATTCTTTCCAGTAGTTAATGTAGCTTTTGTCTGTAGAAAGAGAATAAGTATACTGAGAAAAGATATGAATGGAAGTATAGTACCGTAGTATTTAACTTCAGGATTTTTAAAATGATTATGATGATAACATAGATCTTCCCATAGTGCTTTTGCTCTGAGAACCTTAAGTCATTGCCGACATTGCAGTGAAATTCATTGTCTGCAGATGCTCGATTCATCAGTGACATCCCATCATTAATGCTTCTGTGATACCCTGCTCTTCTCTGTTTGGGTAAATTTCACTCACCCTTGAATTTAAGTCCATAGTTCTTTACCTTATTTTAAGGTTTCAAGTGATAGGTGTTCAAAAATAGCTACTGGTTATGAAAATGCCACATTTGGGGCTGAGGTAACTTGAATCATCTCAATACCCTTGTGATCCTGCGATTATCCAATCACATAATAAAATATCTGCTTCACTTCAGATCCCTGCACAGGGCCCTCAGCGTTTGAGCAGTTATGGGTTTCTGGGAGGTAAAGATAAAACATTGTCTGATCCGAGGAGTGAGACGGGAACATCTGTGTATGACTGTTCTAGGCCTCTGACATACCTCGAAGAAAAGAGAATCCTATGCTATTTGTATATACTAAATTTACAGCCACTTCATCCCAGCTGACTGGGATATGACTGCAGCAAAAATATGTGTGAAATAACTGTGTCAGGGTTTGTAGAACATGCACATGAAAGAAAACAGGAATAAATGGGACTGTAAGTTATATCTAGGGTAGGATTTTGCTTCTCCTAATGTCTACATTTCTCAAATAAGAGGTGAAGCTTGAGAATGAATAAAAATAATAATAATTTAAACTATCTCATTGTTTGCACATCAGCTCAAACTAAGCTGCCAAATTAGGACTCAAATACAGTCATGTGAGCACTTCATTTTCTATGCGTAATTCGCCATCTCTTTTTTTTTATTTTGACATTTTAGCTACAGTAGCACAGAAGAATATTTGGGATGGAACAGTCTTATAGACTTACCGCATTGCCATACTGCTGCTGTTTAAGTAGCATGATTTTGGCTTTCAACATGAAATTGCTGTAAATCTTATTTTGTAGTAGCATGAAATGTGATTGGGTGAAGAAAGTAATTTGATAACGTGTTTTCTCAACATTCCTTCTTTCACTGTTTGCTGGTTTTATTCCCACGTGTTCTGTAGTGTATTATTACCATTGGTAATGTAAGATACAGCCTCCGTTTATCAAAAGCAGCTTGTAAAGGTATAAATAATTGGTGTAGAAGGATGGAAAACCAGGGATATGACCATAATAGTGTTAGGTATTTTGACTACCTAAAACATGTTTTGCAAAAGCTAATAAAAAGCTAATAGTGAAATTACTTTTTTTTTTTTTTTTTTTTTTTTTTTAATAGGTGTTCCCATTCCCACCCTGGCCTGGTATAAGGACTCTATTCCCCTCAGCAAGCTGGAAAATCCCCGTTACAAAGTACTACTGAGTGGTGGGCTGCGGATCCACGCGCTGCGTCCTCAGGACGCTGGGATCTTCCAGTGCTTTGCTAGTAATAAAGCTGGGGAGATACAGACGTACACCTACCTGGATGTGACTAGTGAGTTAGGAGTTGTGATAAGAGATCCATGGGTTGTCTTGTCATTTCTGTAGGTGGCCCTACGTCCATCCGATTTCTCTGCTGCTCTGTGCTTGTTTAGTTTGACTTACAGAATCTTGATTTTTGTCAAGTGTAGCTGCCCAAGCTGTAAGGTACCCCAAAAACTCCCTCTATGGCCTGAACACGATGGGCTGCAGCCTGTAGAAAAACTTTCCATGACATTAGAGGCTTGAGGTAAACTGTCTTGTTTCATGCTAAGAAAGGAGAACTTAGTGAAAAGAAAAAAAAAAAAAAAAAAAAAAAAAGAAAGGTTAATTGTGAAATACTTTTTATGCTTAAATAATTTAGTTCTAGTCTAACGCAATTCTGTTCTGAATTTGAGCTACTTCTTTGTGATTGTACATGCTATCAGTTTATCTTCCTTTTGTCTACAACTACATTTAGTAGGGGAAAGAAAGAAAGTTCAAGTTAAATGTCTTTTTTTTGGCCAAAAAGTCTGATTAAAATGGTTTTGTTAAAGAGGTTCATTCTTCTCTATGGAAGAATTACAAATCCTAGTAGTCTCTTTTAACACTGATTATTAACAGGCATTTCTGTAATACTATAACTCCTCTTCAGGAAGCTGATTTTTAGCCCAAGAGCAGTTTACACATACTGGTCAGAATTCCTACTGGCCTCAGAAAATAGATCATCCCCAGCTCAATATATATCTAGAAAACTGCAGAAAGAAATGTAATAAAATGCAACTGGGGGAAAATAAGAGAGAAAGAAACTTGGAAAATGTCTTGGATGAGACTCAGGTTCTAAATTCTTTTGGCTGACATTTAAGTTTCAAAGTTAATGCCTTTCTCAAGTTGCTTTTCATCTTAAAGAACTCTGTAATGAAGATGAAAGAAAATAGTTTTGTTTATCTAAATTTCTCAACTTCCCCCCAAACACTCATTTTGAGATTTATCTTCCTCTTTCTGTAAGGCATCTTGCTTGTACCTGTACAAGATTTTTATTTTCCATGTAGGTAATAAACTGATTTAGACAATTCCTAGGAGATGAATAATGAAAGGTTACAGTCACTGCTGAAAGGTTTTCATGTATTATTGTCATGTCCTTCTCCATGATCAGCTCTATAAAATGGGATGTAAAGTAGTCCATGGTAATAGGTAAAGGATCTTTCTGATAGCTGATGCATTGAGTTTTTAAAATTTTTGATTCTAGACATTAAACCAGCATTTATACAGCCTCCAGAGGATACCACTGTTACAGAGGGGATGACCGCAGTGCTAATCTGTGAAGTTTCGGGGGCTCCAAAACCTGCCATCTCATGGAAGAAAGGTAGCCAGTTATTAAGTTGTTGTGGAAAATCTGTAATCCATGTTTTCTTGACCATTCCTATTATTGAGATTGTGTAGATCCATTTAGTGCGTATTTCGTCATTTCTCTGGTTCTGCGAGCAGAGGGTTTGTTGTGGGGCTGCTGTGAGCCAGTGGCCTTGGATAGGTTGTAATTCTTTTTTTTTTTTTTTGGAAGAACTAGAATTGCAATGCTTAATCCGTGCAGCCTATGTGACACTTAATCGTGCTGGTTTTCCCTTCTGTGTTTCAGGAAACCAGATCTTAGCCAGTGGCTCAGTTCAGATTCCTCGTTTCATTCTCCTTGAATCTGGAGGGCTCCAGATAACACCCGTTTACCTTCAGGATGCCGGCAATTATACTTGCTGTGCAGTCAACTCTGAAGGAGCTCTGAATGCTTTTGTGATGCTGACAGTGTGGAGTAAGGATAATTCTTTGTTTAAATTCTAACTTTAATCAAGTATTAATCAGTTTTTGTTGTATGCTCAGGAAATTTTCATAAGTAATTATGCTTTTCTAGTTAATAGAGATACTTGTATGATTTAATAGGAATAATGTATCTATTTTAGGAAACCTATCACAAATACCCTTTTTGTTTGTAAAATTATGCATATAAACTTTTCTATTTTGTGAAAGGAAGTGTATTTAAATCACAATTACAATTTTGCAGCAGGTTTTGCCTTGGTGAATCTCGCATTGCAAATCAGACCTTTTAAGTTGTAGATTTGGCCATTTGTAGTTGGTTTCTGCCTCCAGGAGTCTGCAGGCAGTATAGACCAGCCCATGCTGTTACTAAGGCAGTGGCTACAGCTACAATGGATATGATTTGCCTCATACCTTTCTATTTCTTTGTGGCCCTGGGCACTGTTGGAAGCCAAACCAAAGTACAGCAAACCTCAGCTAGTCTCTTAGGCTACAGATTGGCGTGGCACAGGGCAACCCATGAAATTATTTTTGTCCTTCACCATTTGCCCTTGATCTCTGTTTTTTCATTTCTTCTGTCGTGGAAGAGAGTCTGATCCAACATGTTCACCTGGGTTACTCCTAAGTGAGTTAAATTTAAGTGTAACATGTTTTTTGCTACTGAAGGTGGGAGATAATGATCCCTGAGCTGGGACTAAAAATAATTGAAAACAATAAGATGATGATGATAAATACAGAAGTGTTGTGGCCCTCTCCTTTCCTCTACTTGTAGTGCTGATTATGCTGCTGATGTGTGGTACATATTTGGCATTTGTTAATCCTCAAACTGTGAAAATTAAATCAGAAATATTTTTCCTTGTGAATTTGGGAATATCTGAAATCAGTACTGGCAGTAGATGTAATGTACTTGTGTCACATGGCCAGCATATTTATATCTTATTGACAACACAGAGTTGGTATATATCAGGATGTTGTAAACTGAATGATATCCATGTGTATGGATCAAGTAAAGGAGATCCTTCCTATTATTTCTCAAAAGCATCGTTCTTTAATACATGTAAGAGAGTTCCTGTTCATTGGGAAAAATGGGAGGGGGAAAAGTGAATGTGACCTGATGTTTGTGTAGCAACATCACCATTATAAAGTTAAAAGGCATACATAGGTACGTCAGGAGTAACGCTGAAAATTCCATGCTATTAGAGTTAGCGTTTGATTTTGCTGATGATTCCTTCTTGTGCATGTATGAGAGATCTCAGTAGACACTGATTATCTCTGTAGGGATTTGGGACTGATTAACATTATCCACATATCTTCTGTACTCAACCTAGTTGTCTACCTGCTTCAGCTGATGCTATCTGCTACTGCTGCTGTGTGTTAAGCATAACAGAGATCTTTCACCCCAGATCTGGTTGCTGTAGTTACAGCAATTATTGTGTTCTGGGTCTCCAGGAGGTGCTTGAATAAAGATGTTCTGAAACATTTGAGTAAACAGCATATCTTTCTTATATGAAAAATTCAGTCTACCAGAATTTCCTCCTCTTCTAAACTCTTTCCTGGATTTGTCAGGATTGTAGGGTGCCATTTAAGTTTTCCTTTTTCTTCATATTTTTCAAGTGTATTCTTTGCACAGATTTTCTTTATTTTTGTTTACCCTGCTCCAGACAGTGTGACTTGTTCCCTGACTCAGTGTATGTTTGGATCCAGTCGTAACACATTGCAAACATACTTGCTGCCTTCTGACTTCAGGGAGTTGCCATAGATGCTCACCACAATACAAGCAAGAGTCAGTACAGCTTTAGCACTCTTCCTACTCAGATCACTTCAGGCTCAGACTCATGCCCTCTCCTGCTTTTTCCTCTCTGCACCCCACAGTGTAGCACCTTTTCTTGACACAATGGCATTAGAGGGAGGGGAGCCTTCACACCAAAGACCTGAAGAGGAATGGCCTGCTTGCTTTGAAAGACATATGTTCAGTTGCCTGCTCTCTGAGTGAATACCCCAGTCAAAATGCTGTAATTTCACCTGAACTATGGCTTGTGTTCCTTTCAGATCGCACTTTCATTGTTCACCCTCCTGAGGACAGCACTGTGATCAAAGGAACCACAGCCACTCTGCGATGTGAAGCAACTCATGATCCTAGAATTTCAATCAGGTTAGTAGTGTCAGTTCTTGTTTGTGTGGTTTATCTGAGCTTAATTTTATAAGCTGTATGAATAGCATTAGGTGAAAAGTTTCAGGACCCCAGATTTTAACACCAGGCCCCTGATTACTGCATTATAAGATTGTACGCTGTATCATTAATCATATAAATCCCATCTTCCATTTCAGCCTTATGTATTATTTACAATGAGCTAGGTTCCACTTCATGACTTCAGTATAGCCTTCCATGATTTTACTGTCAAGGTTAATACACTATCAATAAAACCAGCTTGTCAGAAGCTGATACTTAATGAGAGTAAAAGCCAAAGAGAAGGAATAGGGTTTCAGGAGTGTTTACACTGGTGTGCATGAAAGCCACAAGAGGTGCCCATGTTCTTGCAAACAACTCGATAACTATGGGCTATATTGTGCTTTAACTGTGTAAAGGAAAACAGAATTTGTCTGAAATATTAAAATTTGTACTAGGGCATTTAGAGGAAGCTAGTAATTTCAAAATAAATTTGCCATGAAAATTCATGTAGTCTGAAAGCAACACAAATGAAAGAAAATGCAAAGAACAGCTTGGAGGGTGCTAGAAGGGTGAACTGCAGAAAGAACTTTGGAAAGAGAAATACAAGTGTGAAAATTTAATGTACAGATACTTAATTGTAAGACCATGGGCTACACCCATCTCTGTGATGTGTTGGTATGTGTGTGTTTTGATGGATAAGCTCTGGTAAACCTTGCCACAGCAGTTTCAGGATGTTACTGATTATGGCATCTGATGTTAGTACAGCCTTAGCAGAGATGGACCAACACCTCAGCTGTTAATTGCAGAGTATGATGTTCTAGTATAAAATGCTGGTTAAGGTGGACTTAAGAATCTGGATGTTTATGAGTACTTCACCTTTTCCATGTAAAATAATATGGTATTGTTTATAAAATATATAGTATCTTGGATGCAGTGACATTTCTCATTCTGATTGCTAATCTAAAACTTAAATTTGTAAAAGGTACTACTGCTCCTGAAAGTAGCTGTAGGGGCCTGTCCTTTTTAACATGTGAATGCAGAAGCTGATACCCTATGGAACAGTTCAAATAAATATATATTGACATTCTTATGAGTAAATAATAACTGAAACATTGTAATACTCAGGTATCTTTGGAAGAAGGACAGTGTTGTAATAAATCCATCCAGCAGTTCCAGGATCACAGTAGAGGAAGATGGAACCCTTCTCATCAGCCAGACATGGTCAGGTGACATCGGAGACTATACCTGTGAGGTCATTTCTTTTGGAGGAAATGACTCCAGAATGGCTCGACTAGAAGTGATGTGAGTATTCCATCTTAAATATACACTATGCTTGTTTCAGATACCCTTGGGCATTTTCCTAGCATTTCATTCTAGGTGATCTGTGGAGTCTGTAAGTTTGATTTTTGGTGTGTTGGTTTTTTTTTTTTTGTTTTTTTGTTTGTTTGGTTGGGGTTTTTTTTTTGTTTTGTTTTGTTTAATGGGAAATTAAGCCTAATTAAATTGCCTTGAATGTCTTTCCTTTTGTATGCTGCCATGCTGCTTGGGCGTTCACGTAACTGAAGTCTTGGACATTACTTTGTAGTAACTGCATCTCTCTGAACCACTACATATTTGTTGAGAACTGTCTATGTTAGGTTAATGGTTGAACTAGGTGATCTTCAAAGTCTTTTCCAAACTAGATGATTCTGTGATTCTGTGTACATATCCATCTGGCTGGGTGAGTGAGCTCCCATTAAGAGGTGGGAGTCCACTTGAAGCCAGTAACAAGTGGACCTCCACAGGGGACTGTAATGGGGCATGCCCTGTTCAGCATCTTTATACATCTGGATACATTTATATATCTGGAGAGGTGTTGAGGTCAAAGTTTGTACGCTGCACAAAATGGATAGGAGACAGTTGATACACCTGAGATCAGGGCCACCATTCTGAGGGACTTTGAGAAATGGGCCAACAGTTACCTTATGAAATTCAGCATGGACAAATGCCATGTCTGCATCTGGGGAGGAATAACATTCTGCAGTAATACAGTCTGGGCACTGACTGACTGGTAGCAGTTCTGCTGGAAAGAACCTGGGGATCTCACTTGACTGCAGCTGAACATGAGCCAGCTGTGTGCCCTGGCAGCAAAAAAGGCTAACAGCATCCTGGGCTGTGTTAACACAAGCATAGTAGATTGATGGACACAATTGCCCCCTTTTATTTGACATGTATTAGTCTACATTTGGAATACTGTCTCCCATTTTCAAGACCAGACTGAATAAACTGGTCTGATCTCATGCCTGACCCTGCTTCGAGCAGGAGGTTGGACCAGAGACCTCCTGAGGTCCATTCCAACCTGAATCCCTCTGTCATCCCATGCTGTAGGGCTTTCCCATAAAGCCCAGGTGCTACACTGAGATGCCAAGGTTATAAGAAAATGTTTTCCTCCTTTTAGTACTTTTTCTCTATTAAACATATGTCAGAATAGCTGGTCCCTGGACAGGCATTGCTTAGTCTTGCATTGTTTTTATGCATAGTTTTCCCGGGGAAAAAAATCTTTATGTATCCCTTTCTTTATTCCTAACTATCTTTAAAAATAAAAACAAGAAAATGTTTAAAGTGCAGTTCAATTCTGAAAAGGGATTATAAAAATGTCATTACGGAGTTCCATATTTTCTACTTCTGTCATTCCACTGGGGTGAAGTGCACTTCCATTTTATTTTTATCACTAAAAGCAACAACTGTGGGTATGGTACATGTGTAGAGCAGATCAAATGAATAAGAAAGTTTTTTTTTTTTTTTTTTCATTTATTTGAGTAGTGCCACATGCTTTAATTTAACTAAAATTGCATCTGTTTCTGCTGGTCATGCCTGATCTCTCTGAGAAGATGGCAACTTCTGCTGTTGGCAGTGTAATGAGTTCACCTCCGAGATTTGGTATGCAGAGAGCTGTTTGATACAGCATTATTCTGCCAGTGCCAAGGCTAGATCAGATGCCCGTTTCAGAGAGCGGTCATATATTCTTTCTCTAATTAAGCACTCCTCAGCTCTCCTCCCGGAGTGCATTTTACTGCTGGTTTCAATCCAAGAGCAGAAGACAATTCAAAAATATATTGCTACTATATAACCATACTTGCTTTTCTCTGAGGCGGTTTTGAATGGAGGGCACAAAATTATGGAGTAAAGACTGAAAAGAATCTTAAAATCCAGACTTTGAAGCAAAGCTGTAAATACATGCTAAACACTTCAGCAGTCTGACCATTTCTTAGTATTAATAGCAAAAGATGCCCTATGCAACCCAGTACAGCAGAGTGGATGTATTTACTTGCAGTTCCCCATTGACCAGTGAGGAACAGTTTTATACTCCATAAAATTCAGGCTAGAAGTTAGCTGGGAGAGGCACATCTTGTGTACATTACTGAAGCTGTCTTTCTTGCACCCCAGCTTGTTCCAGTTGTGTTCGCTGGCTCTCCCTGCACTGGGACTGGCTCTTAATCCTGTATCTCTGATTCCTCTGATGTTCTGTTGCTGATTGACTATTGTCTGGTTTTCCTGGAGGAATTAAAGACATATATCAGACTCACTCTTTTAGAGGACTTCAGTAACTAATAAGTCACTCAATCATACCTTGAATTGTGACATTTTATTTCAAAGTAGTGTTGAAGGTAGAGCAATAATGCCAAAAACCATTGCATTCCTTTGCAGCTTTCATCATTATCATTTGGCTCAGCAGCACAAATCTGTGAGAAATAGAGATACATGATACAACAGAAGTGAAATGAAGAAGAAAATATGTGAAAAGAAAATGTCTGAAGTAAAGCTTAAATTAAATTCTAGCTCGTATACAAATGACAGATCTATAACATTCCCTATTCTCCCAGATAATTCTCTTGTGCAGAACATTAACAAACAGGGCATGTACATTCCCATCGATGAGCACTTACACTTCAGCGCCTTGAGTAGCATTAATGTCAGACAAATGTTCAGAGGAGGCCTATCAACCAATTGCAGACTGGAGCAGTCTACCAACAGATAATATCACAGCTTACCTAGCTTCATCTGACAACTCCAATTGTCTCACCACCTTTTTTTCCCCCACGGACCAGCATGCCCCTCCTCTACCTCTAGGCATGTCAAGAGAAATTACCAAAGGCACAAATAAGTTTGTTACTGATTTCTATTCAAACTGATTCAATTCAAAACCGTTGACCTTCAGGGTGACCTTCAGTTATTTAATCTGAGTGGTCTGGTTTTCTAATCTGTGAAAAGTAGGAAAGAAAACAACTTCTTCCTTTGTTTTCCCTTGTTGGAAGATGGGCTTGGGGAAGAAGGTACTGTTTCTTGCTAGAAGAATATTCACCGATAGCACAGCATGGTATACATTGGTGGTGCAAGCAGGATGGCTAATTTTTCTCAGCATGTCTATGAAGAAATAAAATATTTGAAAAGGAAAGCCAGAAAACTAATGAAGAACTTGCTAAAGTGCAGCCAAAGGTTACCTTGCTCATCAATTTTGTACTGATGGTACTTGGGCACAGAAACTAATTGCTAGTCAAGATACTCTATTCATTCATTTGTCTTCCCTCTAAATGTGTTTATTCTTCATGTACATCACTTGATTTGATTTGCACGAGGTAAAACATTTGCGAGTGATGTTTCTCTTTTGCAAGAGATAGATTTTAATTTTGTACACTTTTTTTTTTTTTCCTCTCCTAGCAGAGCTTCTCAACTGCAAATGCAGAAACATTTTCAGGTCTTTTGATGATGAGCTTGTGCTTCTTGTGCATTCCTCCAAGTCATAGGATTTGATCCTGAAAATAATCGTATGTTATGAAACATCCCAGCTTCATTTAGCTTGCTTTTATAGTCCTGTAAATACCACACTCAAATACATATACAGAAAAAAAACACTTGTTCCTAAAGCTGCATAAGCTGAGTTATCACAATGTATCACTTACCTGACTGAAAACTGTGCTGATTTCAGCTCAAAGTATCCTGAGGATTCTCAGTATATATAAAATATGCAGACTTACCGCTATCTATTCCTGATGATACCTGCTGCTTAATATCAGCCTGTCTGCAGTCCATACTAAAGAATCTCTTTGTTGTATGAATGTGACTGAGACGTATGGTAATGCTGCATTGTTGGAAAATCAAAGTCCTGTACAAGCCTCTGTTATGTCACAACATATAGTAAAATCTTTTAGACTCTTTCTCTATGCAAAAATTTTGGGAGGACAATGTAGTACAAAAATAGACAATTTATTCCTGGCAGCAAGTTCATCTTCTTTCAGTTCTCTTTCACCAGAGAAAGAACTATTATTGTTCTGTCGTCTTCAAAAGCAGGAGAGGGGAGCTAACCACTCATAATAAAACCCAGTAGGTTGCCAAGAATGAACATTATTGCCTTTGTCAATCATTTATACCTGAATTTTGATAACCTTTTTAATAGAGCGTTTGTAATTGCTACTTCCTCCAATTTCTTCCCAATATATCCCATTAAAAAACAGCTTGATTACTAAAAATTAAAATCAGTAAGACCAATGCAGAGTAACAAATCAACAAGATGTCTCATTACAAACTTATCTTCATATGGATCCCATATCCCTTGGTTCCAATAGTCCTTCTCTTTTCCTTTCTGCGGGCAGTGTAAACAGGAAGGATGTCCAACTTTAAAATACATTATTCCTTCCTCACGAGAAAGAAAGCTTCTATTTATTTTTTCCAAGCTCTCTATTGAGATGTCATCCAAGAAGTAAGGTTCAGTGCTGAGTCTAAATGCACTTGATACTCAAAGGAGAAATACCACCCAGAAATGCTCTTAGAAATGCATTTTTGTCTGTTCATCATTGAAGGTATACCAGAAATGTAGGTGTTTTTAGAAAAAAGTACAAAATTCAAAAGCCTTTCCCAAGTCATCTGTAGATTTGAGCTTATGGTGACCACCAAAATGAAATATGAAATAAATCTGTGCACTCTGGGACTTGGCATTTTAATTTCAAAAATCTACCTCATTATAGGCCTGCGAGAGACAAAAAGCCTCAAAACTGCTGGATGCCTTGCAAGAAATCCTTCCTGCATTTAGAAACTGGAAATTATTCTTTTGCAAGAGAAATTGGGAAGTCCTGAGCAACAGATGACATGCTTCTTAATTTAAAACCTGATAAACTTTTATGAGCAAAGCCATCAGGGCTGAGCACTTTGTTAAGTTTCCTGCCTCAACTCCATACCATGTTATCGGGTCTAGCAGATGAACCACCTGCTCTTGAGTAAAACTTGCATGGTGGACCTGATTTAGGAAATCATTTATGAAATAGGAGCAGGACTTTTCATAAACGGACAAGAAAACTTATTTAATCTCCCTTGACTTTTTAGTAATCCCCTCTTCAGTCACAGTCTCTCTAATTACCTGCTGTTGGACCATTTTTCTCAGAAATCTCTCCAAACCATGTCTGGTTTATTTCCCTCAGCAAATAGTCTGCTTTTAGCTAATTTTATAAAATACTCTACGTGTTTGCTGAGTGAATTTTTCAGCTGCCCTCTGGCAGTGATGAGCTGACTCAAAACATTAGGGTTTCTGTTTTGAACATGTATCATCTGCAACTGGCTAATATTTCTCTCCTAGATTGTCACAATGACTTCATGTTCTTTTCCTACAAATCTGCTGGTTTAATTGCTTTGTCAGAGTCCCCTCAGGTCACCTCGGTGGCTATGCCATTAACCCTGGGCTTATCTATCAATTACAGATTTTAAAGTGGCCATATACATATTTTTTCTATCATACAAAGTAAGTTATGGAAAACTTGCCTCCATGCAACTCTTCAGCATTAGAGGAGTGAGGTCTTAACATATCCTATATTGAAAAACCTTCACATATTTTCTGTTGTGGCCTTCAGTGAACAAAAGAAAGATAATAATAGTGTTGGAATTAAACTTCTAGAGTCCAATCAAGGGCTGTTCTGTGCCCTGTGTCCTAAACCTCATCTAGTTTCTTGGTCTATCAGAAGTTGAGCATTTCTAGTCTGAGGTCCTTCTCATCCTGAAGAAGGGTTGAAATTACCATTCCCTGCAATGATTTCTTGGATGTTAGCCGCAAGGAAAAGTAACGCTCTTAAAGGGAAAAAAAAGAAGCAATTATCTCTTTTGGGAATGTGAATATTCATGATGGTGGTACAGGTCTCATTTATCATCCATTCCACACAGTATGTGGTAGCAAATGAGAAGGAGACAAAGTGTAAGTGCTTGCTAGAGTATGAATTACTATTTATTAATCTCTGCTTTTGTATACCACAAAGAGAGAAGTACACTTCTGTGCTGAAATGTCTTTGTAGTTTTAAATATTTATTTCTGTCCAGGTGTGTTTCTTAGGCACTTGTTATGTCTGCCTTGAGGGATTTAAATCTGCAAGCACCATCTGTTGCTGTTCAGTGTGGACACATATGGCTAAAGAATATGATATGAGTGGAGATAGGTGTACTGTATCGCGGCTGCAGCCATGCTACTCAATCTCTGTCTGAACAAAAAGTGCCCATTTCCTTCATGCTGCTGACTGATTACCATTTTGTGTCAATCGAAGAGAATAATCAACTAAACCCAAATCATAAGCAATACACTCAGTTTGTGCTTTAAGAAACATGAAAAAGGAAATCTTCCCTCTCCTCCAAAAGTCTTCTGAGACTTGTACATTGAGAAAAAGAGACTGAGCTGTAAAGTCTTTCTTAGTCATGTGGCCTCTGTCCTCAAACGAACTGTTAATTCAGCCCTTCTGAATGTATGGGGAAACAAGATTAGCAAATGCACACCCTGAAAATATCATTAATATATACCAGGAGTGTTTATTTAGCTCCCAGAAAACTAGTTACACAGAGATAAGTTTGCTGTGAGCTCCCCCTCAGCCATCCCTGCCACATTGCTCCCTTTGTGACTATCATCTTCTGGAAGAAGCTGAAGCCACAGCCCATCTCTGAGCTCTTCCCCACAGAGCCTGGTGATAAATGAAGTGGGGACTGGGACTTCTGTGAGCCATGTCACAAGATGTTTCACTCTCTTTCCTTTGGTAATTTCCTTTGCCAGCTTAATCACAAAACCACTTTTCCAACCAGCTTGCTTAGGATGTAATGATAAATTGTGGTGGACGTTTAATGTTTATCTTAATTTAATGTTTCATTCAAAATTAAGTAACACGCTCCTGTAGTCCCTGGGTAAACAGACATATCTTAAACACCCACTCCACACTTCTCAAATGACAGGCTTATTCTGCCATTTGTCTTGCAGGCCAGCTGCCCTCCTACTGTGTTTCCAGGTCCCTAAACTTCCCTAAACTTGTTTATCCAAAATTTTGCAGTGCTGTGTTCAAGATCTGCTTCCACTGGGCCCATACATACTCTTTCCTGTGCCTGATATTTCTTCTAGCCCAAAAGTACCCATGTCTTAGCTGCCTGTGCATCAGAAATCTGGAGCCTGGTTGGTGCATGCCCAGCTCTAAGTGAGAATATAGTCAGCCTAAACTCCTCTTAATCAAGTCATCTTGAGCAAGTGATTTAATGAAGTTAAGATCGGAATCACACCCTGAGGTGTCATTCCATGTTTACTACAGAAAGAGCCTGGGGTCACCATGCTGCTAATTTGCTTAGAAGTTTAAAGTCAAATGAGACAAGACAAGACTCAGGTTTAGCCTTAGGAAACATCAACCCTTCTAGCCTAGAGAGAGTTGGGTAGATGAGTGTGTTCCAGTTGTGTTGTCTCATTATCTGTGTGTTTTTCTTAACACTCTTCAGCATTTTCAGCAACCTTTTTTGGGGGGGCTAACTCAACAGGGTGTAGCCATCGTAAACATGTAAACAAAAGCCTTCATAGTTTTAACAGAAAAATAATAAAACTATTGTCTCGCTCTCCATATGTTCCTCAGTCTTTCAGCAGAAACCCAAATCCAGGACATATTTATTGTTCTGGCTTAAAGCCAGAGTCTCTATTTACTTTTCTGAGTGGCTGAGGAGTTGCGGTTTTTAAATAACTGTAAGCCTTCAGTAGCATGATCCATTACAACCAGAAATTACTGTTTTTAAATTAAGCATGTGAAGTACCCTTGTGGCTTTCTGCTCTGGCCGGAGCAGATTAGCAGTGGTACTTGCCGAGGAAGGGTTGCTCTCAGCTTTCCTGGGGAGAAGCAGGAGATTGAATGGGTAGAAAACTGGTCTTCCTTGCTTTTCCTTCGCTCGGAGATCCTTGTCCTCCTTAGGAACCAGGATGATAAAGAGCAGATATCAGGCTCAAGTATAATGGCTGAAGGGCTCTTATCACTTAATACAGAGCAGCATTTAAGAGATGCAGCAGAATTTAGTTTTCTCATTGCACCATGCAGCCTCTGACTTTCAGCCAATGAGTACAAATGAAATGTTTTCCCACAAATTGACTTTATGTAGAGAAATTACACGTTTTAATTGAGCTGCTGTTTTATTTTTGTTTTTTAATGTGTCATTTTGTATTTCCATGGGGTTTCTGCAGGCATTTTCACTACATTTTCTGGTTGGGTGCTTCCAAAAAAATCCTTATTATAGGAAGGAAAGATTCTACCCATGACAGGATAAGCCTGAATCCGCGAGTAAATCAAGCTGTTCTGTAGCCTAAGAATACATATGGTAATTTTGATTAGTAGCTCTATATGGATAGTGTCAATGTCTTCTGCTTCCTTGAGTATGAAAAATTCCATGTTAAATCATATCTCCCATGTGTTTTACTGTTTATATGTATTACTGCTGTCACATTGCTAGGACATCACCATAAGAAGGGGAAAAAAGTGAGAGAGGAAATTTATTGACCAACTTGTCTCAGTCAAAAACAGTATGAAAACTGGCTTTTTTCCACATTTAACAACTTTTCCATTAGCTGTTCTAAGCATCAGCCTTGGGACTTTCAGCATAATTTTTTTTTTTTTTTCCAAATAGGATAAAATTGTGAAGAATTCAGAGATGTCTTTCATTTATTTAATTGTACAATAGCTGCTGGTAGTTTTATATCTATCATCATATGAGTCTGATCTCGTGTGCCTTTAACTGCCTCTAAGACTGTAGCTGAATGAAATGTAGATTGATTTTTCTGTGCTGTTTTTCCTCCGTTTCTCTTTTTCTTAACAGTGAGCTCCCTCATTCCCCTCAGAATCTTCTGGCCACTCTAAATTCCTCATACAGCCGCAGTGTGATGCTCTCCTGGGTGCGCCCCTTTGATGGAAACAGCCCTGTTCTATACTACATGGTCGAGCTCTCTGAGAACAGTGAGTAAAGTCAAATCTGGTTCAACCTCATGTTCTTCTTAATTATTCAGTCTTCTTTCAGACTCGTCTTTTACTGGAGCTACTACCAAAATGTTACTGTTTGTTAAACGAGCGACAGGGTGCACGAAGGGGAAGCCCTGAGTTTTACACACAACTATTCGCACATTGGAAGAGTTAAACAATGAAAAGAGGCCTGAGAAGATGGAAATGTTATACAGGAAAGCTTTAGTTCCACCTCCATCCAGCATTGTCAGCCAGACTTGAGGCACAACAACTCGTTCCTCAATGCTTCTATTCAACATCCATAAAAGAGCAGTAGTCATTTTTTATTTCTTCCCATTGTTGTCTTTTGCTCCAGTTTTACAGATAGCTTGATACATTCAGAGCTCAAATTTCACCTGAAAAATGCAGGCAGGATGATAATATAAGTAACTGATGGTCTGTCAGAAGAACAAACTTGGGTGTTAATAGGAGTTACTACATAGAGTATCTAATAGGAGTTATCTGTATATGGGTTCATATATTTTCTCTGCTTTCCCTAGGTTATCATTTTACACCCTCCTTTTAAGTAGGTGGTTGAGGATGCTTAACTGTAAGATAGCCAAATATCTTCATGGGTTACAAACCTGCTCATTGTGATTTGCCACTTCTCACAGTTTTTTCATGCTGTATGTCTGGTCCTTTGTGGCTCTCAGTCTGCAAGGTTATTCAGGGACATTGCTAATGCCTCTTTAGGAGTTGATGGAAAGATGAGGTTATATGGAAATCGGTCACCTTGGCAATACTTTCTAATCGCTTTCACCCTAGGAGCTGGAAATCCAAGCCTAACAATTGATTCTTGATGAAAAAATTAAGAGCATCGCTTTTTCTGACAAGTGGAAATTAGCCACTGCATAACTGAATGTGAAACAGTCCTGATTTCTGATTATCTAGCGAGTAGCGTTTTGTTTCGCCACACAGAGAGCTTGAGATGAAGTATGAGCTTCAGATCACATATAACCCTTTTGCTTTGCAGGCTGGAGTACATAACATTTCAGATGTGGAGGTCCCAGAACTGATGATCTTGGCATCTGTTAAGCAAAGTGCAGTTTTCTAATCCTAGCAGAAATCCCAAGTTGAGCCCAGGACTGTTGTCCGTAAAACAATTCTTTTTGAGCAAAGACTTGATCTTTTTGCACAAACGACTGAGAAAATTCAGAGTTCTGCACTCGCCTCCCTCTCTATGTTTTTATCACCACCTTCTTTTTCATTTTCGCTCTCCTTCCCCTCCTGTTGACTACAGTCCAGTAACAGCCTTTTTGCTTTTCCTTACCCATTCTTTCACCTGACGTCGTTAACCTTGTGTTTCATGTTTCCCCGTGGCTTTGACAATGACAAGCTAATGAAGTCCCAGTCTGGGAATATGATGCAAAGGTACTAGAGCTGTATTTACATAGAGACAGCAGAGAGCTGGCAGAACATATGCTCTTGGGTCCTGTGCTGGGCTGCATTGATTGGGAAGAGTCACTAAAAGAAAAGGCAGTGCACTCGGTGCCAGGAGAATTCTGAAAGGTCCTAAAGTGCCTTTCTAGCAAGGATGCTTTGCAGTTGTTCTAGCATAGGAATAGGGTAAATGTGCCATTGTTCTGAAAATCCTATCATTCATTCACTGAAATTTGTAGATGACTCAGCAAAAATCAACAGCAGCTCTCCAGAAATCATGCAGACAGTCCCTCAGAACTCGGCAGGATCCTGTGAACCCTTGCTCACTCTGTGATATAGCCGATAATTTTGGCTGATGGCATTGCAATCTACCACTGAGCCTTATTATCACAAATCACTGGTACTTCAGCAAGCTTGCAGGTGCAAAAAACCAAACACAGACCAGGTTTGTTGTGAACTGAGCATCTTAACTCCCAGAAATAGTCTACATCTTGCTGCCCTTTCAGTTTTCATCTTAATTTTAATTTGCTTTTATGTACAGTGTCTTAATGGCTACTCTCAGAAGTAGGACAGAGAAGAATCTAAACCCGTGAATATTCCACTGTTGCTGTCTTCTCTCATTTCATATATTATTGCTCAGCTTTAGAGATGCCAGCTGAGTAGTAGAACAATGTCAACAGTGACTTTGTTTGGAAAGCTGACTTTAATGTCTGTATATTGTCACTGTCTTGTTTTGGTTTTTATTTTCTTGAAGTGTTTGCTTTTCAGAGTTATTTTGATCTCAGTAGTGTTAATATTTAGTTTCTCCAGACCTCCTTCTCCTTTGGAAAACACCATCTTTCCTTTGTTCCCACCCATCCCAAGCGATGTTTGTGAAAGAAGCTGACATTTGATCTCGTGTAGGTATAGTTTTGTCTGCTACAACTGTGCAGAATCTCTCTTTGCTTTTCAAAGAAAATTTTCTTTCAGCTTTTCTGTTGGTCCTGTTTGTACTGCAGAAAGAGCAGCTGTCAAGGAGTCCGTGTATGCCCTCGGTGAGCTCATCTGCTTGCATCTGCAGCGCTCGCTGTCAGCAGCAGTGCAATATACTTAATATCCTAATCCCTGTTTGCTTTCATACATATAAAGGTTAGGGAGGGACATCAGAATGGTGATGTCTTTTCCACTTAGCAAAGCTGCACCACACACTTTGTTCTTAGTTCTGTGGAGTTTTAATAAGTGGGGTTTGCTTTGCAGTCACAGGTGCCAAAATGTAACCTAGTTTTGTTCATTTTTTTAGCTGTTTTGCTTTGAATAATTTTCTAATAGCTTTAGGATCCATTGTACGTTTTGAAGCAGGTACCATAAATGAATACATAATAACAGTATCTGTTTCAGAGAAATAGCTGAAGAGGGTTCAAAATAATGAGCATAAATTTCAGGGGACTAATTACTAGCTGCATTAGGGAGAGGCGTGTCACTCCACCTGGCATGGATTAGAACTCCTTTTCATTAATATCAATTCAGTAAAGAGATATAAAAACTTTATTTTAATTAGAGGAAAAAAAAACAGTGGCAGATCGTGCACATAAATTGCTGGAAATATGAACGACTAGTCACCTAATATTTAAAACGAATGTATTTGGCACAATGCAATAATTCTCAAATTACAAGTATTCACAGTAGACCATGTCTGTGGGTGACTTGAGGCATATGGCCTTAAACATTTGGGGGCAAATTTATAATCTAATTTGAAGAACACAGTTCCAGGGAAACACAGTCATTAAGTATTCCTGCCCACACAGCCAGAAAAGTGAACCTTAATTTGAAATAGGATTTTTGAATAAATAGTACCATGCATTGCTGTCGCTTGCTCTAGTACAATTTTTGGATGTTTCATGACCTGTTTAGCCCTGTTGCAATATACCTAGGAATTCCAATGAAGTATCTTCATGGATTTAGAAGGAAAGAGGTTATGCTTATCTTATTCCAAAGAGGCTTAGATTTCAGGGATTTATCAAAAAATATTCTGAATGCTCTTTTAACTGAAGAAATGAATTAATACTTAAAGAATTCTGCTGACTACAATTAAGATAAAAGCTCACTTTTGTTTTATTGTATTCTGGGATATCTGTGTTGTGTGATGTAAAGATATAACTCAGATTAATCACATTGTGCCAATAAGGAGATAATAAAAGCTCCTATGAAAAGCATCTATACATGCTTAAGTTAAAGCCTATGAATTGTCATCCTGAATTTGGTAGTAATATTCAAATGATAAAAATTGAACACATTGATAAATCTTTGCAATAATCAAAGTAAAACGGTGTTGTTTATTATGACTGTGACTCAGATCTGTATACAATAGTGTTAAAAGATACTTTTTCTCAGGCCATTGGTAGACCTTGTTGAAATCGTACCAAACAAAAGATGAACGATTCAATTTTTATTTGAACTTTTTGCAATATCGTATTATCACAAATATTTGAAAGATGAATCCAGTAAACTCCAGCAGTACAGCAGATTCCAATAGTATGTGGATTTCTATGTGGAACCCCCTGGAGAAGGAAGGACATTGAAACATACTCCAAACCAGCGAAAATCAGTTTACTGAAATAGATCTAATCTATGATATCAAATTAGAAATTATTTTTGAGGAATTTGCAATTAATGCATGAATTAATATGAATGCATGAAATATAGAAGAAATGCCTCTTGGTGAGTAGCCATTTTATTAAATGTATCACAGGTGCATCCAAAAATTCTTGGCAGAACAAAAGTAATTTCTGAAAACTCCCAAATCACATTGTAAACTAGAGAGTAGTCTGTAAGATCCTTTGTTTCCAATAAATTTACTTGGAGAGGTAATCAGAGTTAATTCAAAATACCTAATATCCTTAAGACGATAGACAGCTAAACATGGAAGTTTTTCAGACAGTAGCAATTACAGTGGAAGAGTAAGCAGGCAAAGCCCAGAGTACTTCTGGGCAGCTTAAGTTAAATGAAGGATTAGCACAGTCTGTTCAGTCTAACAGAGGCTTATTTAATAGTTTGACCTGGCAAGTCTTTTGTCACCATGGAGCTTCTCCAGACTTCTTGGGACAGGAGAGTGACAGTCATCCCTGGAGAAGGGAGTCAGTGCTGAAAATTTTATGGCATGTTTTTGATGTCAGAATTGCTTTTCTATACAGTAAAAGAAGCTTCTGTACAATTCTGGGGTTTATTGTGTGTTTAAGGAGGGAGAACAGGCTTTCGAAATGTTTAGTTTATTGATTGTCAAAAAAAAGACTTGACATTTAAATTTTAAAGATACTCTGCACACTCACTGTATCCACTGCTCCATGAGCGAACAAATCCTCCCCAAACCACTTCCCTTTAGGAATCAGAGTGCCCAGGAGATGAATAGGCTTTGTTTATATTAGTTTTCAGTTTAATCTCTCTTCCTGCCAGATCTTTTATCTTCCACCAGGAGAGGAAAAAGAATTAATAAAGTATTCTACAGATGCAGCATATAAACAGAGCAAAGCCCCAAGGTGCTGAAGAGATTAATAGGCCCTGTTGTTGAATCAAACTGCTCACTACATTGAGCTACTTGGGTTAAGCACTCTCAGGTGGTGTTTACACTAGCAGTAAACAAACAAAATGCTCTAGGAAATGGACCACTACCCAAGTAGCTCATACAAGGGTGTTTCACTCTTGTTGGTGTCTGCTCTTCCATTTTCCTCGGGAAGATGCTTCAGGCAATGTATTGTCAGCCATACCTTAACTTCAGTTTACCTTGATTTGTTGTTGTGTTTTCTGGCTGTAACAAGGTGAAGAGTTGTTTGTGAAGTCTCAAGAGAAGGTTGATAAAATTCAGAAGGAACTAAGGTGCAAAAAAACCTCCTAACCATTGTTTTTCTAGATAGAATAGGTGTGCGTCCTCTCAGGTTTTTCTAAAAGGAGTTCAACATTCAGCTAAGATGAATTGCCATCAAGATCTTGCAGCTGAAGTGACTGCCGGTAAATCATCAACAACTGGTGAGGACAAAACTTGACTGCTGTGCAAATGTCCCTCTCCAGCATTCCCAGTATTCTGTTGTGTCAGTTTTCCTGTTAAAAAAGCTTTGTTCTTGGAAAGCTATTACAGGAATAAATATATTTTGAGTAATTCAAAGATGCAGTGTTCATAGCCCAACTGGCATCACACCCTAGAGGACTTAAACTTGCTAAGGAATCTGCCAAAGAAGCACTAAATTAGTGGTTTACATCTTGGTGTGAAGTTTAGCAGCCTTCCACATTTGGGACATCTCATCTCCATTTTCAGGCAGACGTCTAGGTGACCTGCCAGGAGCCGCAGTGCACTTCTGATGAGCAACATACACAGTTATGTTGCCAAAATCTGCAGCTAGCTCCTCAGTAATTTCCAGAAGTGTTAGTAATTTTGAGCAGGGAGCATGAAAACAGCTGGTATTATTTAAAAACTGAACAAATCTTTAAATTGGCTGATTCCATTGCTGTACTGTTGCAACACAGACCAAATGTCACCTCGCCCTGACTATTTCAGTCATGACTTCAGGGAGAATATGTGACACCAGGCTATGAAGAAAAGAAGTCAGGATATTTAATTTTCAACCTGTTTCATTTCTGACCTCTGAAAACTTGAAAATGTAATTTGGGCATCAGAGGAGCTCGGTACGTCAAGTATGTGAACTGACAATGAGGGGTTTATGGTGCTGCCAGGACTGTTTATACCAGGGAATCTTCCTAGGAAATGATTAGACTGAATGCCATATACTATCTCTAGAAAAAAAAAAAAAAAATGCAGACATGTAGAATCTGCAACAGAAGCTTTCTCAGGTCTTACAGCAAAGGGCTGATTTGGCAGAGACAGTCACGCTTCTACACCTGCTTGCAAGCTGGGTAGGAAGATATTCCAAACTGACTGTGAATTTCATTACAGTCCTTCCACCAGAGCCACTCATGGGTGTGGTGGTGTAATGGCCTGCCAAACAGATGGGTTGTGAAATACACAGCCCATCTGTCTTTATCATGCTTGTTTCCTCTTTTATTAAAATGTTAATGAATATAGTTTTTATTTATTATGCCATGACATGTGCAGCATCACTTTCCAGTAGACAAATGTGCAATCTGCATAACCGTGTGGGCTGACAGGAAGGTTTCTTTGGCTGAAAAGAAACTTCTTCCCAAAGTTCCTCTGAGGAAAACAAGCACAAAGAACTCTGAGCAGTCAGAGGCGTTTTCTCACTTCTGCAGGGCTTTTAGCAGGCACTTCCATCTTTTTTCACATGTAAATTATTCCACAGATTCTCCCTGGAAGGTTCACCTCTCAAATCTCGACCCAAAGATGACCGGTGTCACTGTGAGCGGACTAACTCCAGCCCGAACCTACCAGTTCAGGGTGTGTGCGGTTAACCAGGTGGGAAAGGGCCAGTACAGCTCCGAAACCAGCAGGTACGGTAAAAAGAAGTATCTGTGTACTAAAGGTACAGTAACCTAGAAGTACTGGGAGGAAAAAACTGCTGAATGTTTGTGAAGGAATAAAAGTTATCTTTTGCACAATAATTAGGGAACGGAGCAGTTAGCATTACCCAGGCCTCTGGAGAGTGCTCCACAGCTGTCTGTAATTGGTGATAACGGCAATTAGGAGATGTGGGATATCAGTACAAGATGGGAGAGGTGCCCTCATGTTTTCACAGAATCAGTTGAGCAGAATCTTGGAAATATTTTTTGCTCTTGTGCTAGCCCGGGAAGGAGTACAGCATTCACCCAATCACTGCAGTGTCACTTCTGGAGTTCACGCAGATGCGACATAGAAGGATGGCTTCATCAAATTTATTTCCAGATGCAACCCCCCTTCTTCTATGAACCAAAGCTTGCCGTGAGCTTGAATTGCAGAACAGCTGAACTCTAAACAGCTTTTTCAAAATGTAGGAGTTTGATATGAAAAATATTGAAAGAGCTGAAAGAAACAATTTGGAAGGAGTCACAGACACTGGACCTGAGCTCTAACTCATTCAGGCTTGTAATCTTTTTAAAGAGTTGTAGCAGCCTGGGTGATTCAGAGAGAATAAGGTTACCTCAGCTGTCTGTCTTGTTGCTTGGTTAACTGATTTCCTATTATGTTGATTTGTTGTAACTATTTCATGCATGTCTTCAGCAGTTGGATCAGCGTTATATTTCTTTCTAGTCATCAGACATTGATAAAAGAATCTGGTTCACATGGAGTGGATACATGAAATAGAAATGTCATCTATCATTTATTTTAACACCCACCTCCATCACATTGTTTTGTACTTAGGTTGATGCTACCTGAGGAGCCCCCCAGTGCCCCACCTAAAAACATAGTGGCCAGTGGGCGCACCAATCAGTCTATCATGGTCCAGTGGCAACCTCCTCCCGAGAGTGAACATAACGGGGTTCTTCATGGGTACATCCTAAGGTAAGTAATTTCCTAACCTGGAAAGTCTTGGAGACAGCTCCATGTGTGCATGAGGGAATTCAGAATCGTGTGACTTAAGAGTGTATCAAAAACTATTTCTAATTCCATTAAATAGATTAGTTGTTATTTGCAAATGCTGTGGCTGCCCTGGTTTATTACAGATGAGGAAACACCTCTATTCAAGTGGCCACAGGGGTGCAGGCACTTAAATTCTAGCCTGTCTATACTAGAGAGTGAGCAAGATAAGGTCTCTGTTAGCTACTCCGAATGGACTGCTGAAGTAGACTAGCTCCCTGTGGAGACTTTCAACATCCTGATAGCTTTTTTCCATTTTCAAAGTGAATTAAAGCACCAAGTGCTAAAGATGTTCACATGGGAAGTTGGTACAGTGCAGCCTACGTATTGCAAGCATATATTTGCTTATTGCAATCTCAGCCTCCTACTAGAAAGGTTAATTACATTTATCAAAGACACAAGAGGGCTCCTGCACTATGGAAGAGCAAGAATAGAATCAGTAAACTTCAGTGTTGTGCCAAACAAAATGTAGACAGGGAATGACCAGTCAGATGCTTTATGGGAGATCTTGATTTGGTTTTGAGAATCTTTCAGTTCAGTAAGATTCTTTCAGCCCCATCTGTATTTATTAACAAGAATCAGATTCAGCCAGGTAACTGGGAATCCTTGAATATATCCAGTCTTTCTCCTTATAGAGGATTTATTGTGTTGGAAAGGGCGCTGCCACACTGAGAAACTTTGCAGAGCATTTCCCTTTTGTAATTTTTTGAGACTCAGTTATTCACTCCCACCCAGTTCAGCTACAGCTTCCTTGCTGATTTGGCATCCTACATATTCCTGCAGTGCTAGCAGACAGCTAGGGCCGTAACTTCAGTAAGGGAGGCACTATCTAAATCAGAGTTCTTGTAGGAAACTCCCAAGCATTGCACCACCACTGACATATTTCCAAGTGATGGTTACAATCTATTGTAGGCAGGCTGCTGACATTTTTAATACAGTGTTCTCCGGACCTGCTAAAAGATAACTAAATTCTGCAGTTTAAATGCCAACATCCTGTTCATGCTGCGCTCCTACTTTTGCTGGCATGGATGGAAATGCTTCTGTGATGTTAAGAGTATTGGTGAGCTCCCAAAATAGTGCTGGAAAGTTCCTTTTCTCTTCAGGCAGAGCTGAGGTCTGTTAATCTCCCTGTCACCTGCACAGAGCCTATTATGGTGGTGAGACACTTGTGCAAGTGCCTGCAGTTTTAAGAGCTGGACTCAGTTTGAAAGCTGTGCCAGTCATCAGTGACAGGTGGGAAAAGGTGTTTTAACTTCTGTCTACAGCTAGAATCTCGTTATGAGACTTGGGCACCTAATTTGCACAAGACACAAGTTGCTTGTACAGTTCTTTCCTTCAAACTGGTCTACTCGATGATAGGATTAACCCCTTAGCCATTCCCAATGAGGCTTACCCATTCTCAGCATTAAGCCTCCTGAGAAAGCAATCCCATAGCCTCTTACTTACGGCAATCTGTTCTGTTTTCTCCATATACTGTTTTTAATAACGTTTAACTTAAGTATTTCTACAACATCTATCAGCATAATTGATCCCTGTCCCCGCTGTAACATGTCTTTCCATTTTAATAGAGGGTGATCATACTCATTATGCTCAATCTGTGAACATTTTTGATGTCTACATGCGTTGTCTTGACTACAGAGCAGAGAAACCATTTATTAGACAGGAATTTAAGATTATTGTATAAAAGCACAACTGACTCAGGTAATAAACCGTGCTGTTCTTCCAAGACAAACTGTAGGGTCACAGCAATGTGAACTGAAGAAAAGTCTTCCTGCACTGATTTCTAGTAGAATTTGGGATATAACAAAATGAAAACCACTTTGCATCTCAGAGACCCAGTGCTCAAGATATGCAAGATACTAAATTGATGGAACACCTGATCTTTAAAAGTGAAGGTGCACTGCACAAGTCATATGGACTATGCATCAAAGCCCATAGTGAGAAAAATCATGAAGACATGACATTTCTGAACTGGCTTCCTTCCTCTGCCCTTTTTCTCACTGGCAGTATTGCATTTAGAGGACTGCCATGTTAACAGCATAATAGATTAAATCACAGGAGCACTCTTACAGCTTGTCTGCTAGGTGTGAGACAAAACATTGCTGCACAAAGAATTGACTTTGCCAGGAAACATACACCCTTCACAGGAGACTTAAAGAAAGAAAAAGGTAGATATTGCATAAAGTAGAGAAAGATCAAGACATTCCGTAAACTCAGCCAAGGGCTGACATGTCTATATTTCTGTTTGTATTTCATAAATGGAATCACACCAGTGTAGCATTACAAATATTAAATATACCAAAATATGGTCAGTCAAGCAGCTCCTCTGCAGAAAACAGAGGGGTTATCAGTGATTAAGAACTGATCTCTTGTAAGATTTTTTTAGAACAAAATCTATGGCTGAAATACACAAAGTTGTCTAGCTGTAGAAATTGCACCAATTTAACTTCGATGAATTTGAAGTCGGACTGTAAGATGTCAATGAAATTGTTCTGTGTCAGTAAGCTTTTGGTGATTACTGTGAAGCAAAAGATGAATAAGAGCGTATAAATGCTGTGTGTTGAATAAAAATACAAATGTTTCCATATTTGTCTTTTTCATGGAATAGTAATGCCTTCTGCCCCTTACTTGGCCTCTGTTTTTTCCATTTTTTGGTCAATTAGCGTATTGTAAGCATCCATTATATCATTTTCCTAAAGGAAGGAAAACAAACAGTATTATTCACATTCACAGATTTGCAAGGTTTTTGTTTGTTTTCTATAATTTAATTCTTCTCCAGAGTTTCTTGGCCTGAAGAGACACATCAAAAGGGCTCTGTTTTTTGCAGTACAGTTTTTACATGGGAAAATTTATTCAGTGTTTCAGCTTCCCATGTCTCAGCAGAAAGTTTGTCAGGATTTACTGCTCATCCTTATTTGGTATAGCCCTTCTCCTGGAATCCCGATGCTTAACCAACCCTTCAGCCTCAACTGTATTCCATCCTTATTTTAATTATTCTGTGAAGTAAATCCTGGTGGAAGACAGAGATGGCAATGCCTGAGTCTCTAGAAAGTCAAAGCCCTCTGAGCTCTTCCTTTTCAGATTTCAGAGGAGAAGGAAAAACCATTTCTCAAGCTGATTTACCGCAGCACCCTGATAAAAATCACATCTGGACTGTTTTTTCTACTAAATCACAGCTTTTACTAGACAAGCCACATTTAAAAAGCTGTAATTTTTCGCAACCGTAAAACAGGATAAAATACCCGTTTTGTTTAGCTCTGAGCATGTAATCTCAGTGAGATCAGATTGCAAATACTATAGCAGTCAAACACGATATGGTCTTATCAGGAGTTAGTCTGTTCTTTCTGATTATTTTGCATTGTACTTTGTATAATTCTGCTGTAAAAGTTTGCATGTTGCCTCATCACAAAGGCAGCTATTTTGCTAGTCAGGATATTTGCTGTAATTGATACCATCTAATTAACTAGCAAATTTTTCTTCCCATATGGTAGGTATCGCCTGTCTGGCCTCCCTGGAGAGTACCAGTATAAGAACATCACCAGTGCAGAAATTAACTACTGCTTGGTGAAGGACCTGATCATTTGGACCCAGTATGAAATCCAGGTGGCATCTTACAATGGAGCTGGGCTGGGAGCGTTCAGCAGACCTGTGACAGAGTACACTTTACAAGGAGGTGAGCAAATGGGACCAATATATCATTTATAGTCACAGTTTATAGCACAGTTTCTGAAGGAGAGAAGGCACTGTGTGATTGTCCCACCTACCAACTTGTGAAATGAATGGTCATTTCAGTCAAATTTGATAGACAGCTTGGGGTAGGAAACACATATTTCAAATGCCTAAGCAGAGACAAGATGAGACTCTGTTACTATCTCTGTTGTAGGAAAAGCCATGAGTGAATTCAAAAATTATCTATTTTTGTTGACCCTCCTGATGGCATGTTATCACACTTGCAGGTCAGAGTTGGCCGCAGCGTAAGTAATAAATAGAAATGCTGCAGAGAGCTGGGGTTCTGTGGAATGGATTTATAGGATGTGTGACAGGCAGGGGCTGAGGTTACTCTGCCAAGAGAGTAGGGGAGAATATGGCATGAAATAGGGTTTATTGTGGTCAGGAGATGCAATATGCTGTATATGCAATATAGGAGACAAAATCTAAGTAAACCAGCTGCATTAGTTCTGATAATCACAGAATACCTTGTTTTAGAAATATGGAATAAATTGTAAGGAAAGTGTAGGGAGAGAAATACAGCCTGTGGAGAAAGAGTGTTTTGAGCATTTCAGGAATGGTGCAGACATTTGCAAAGAGGAAGATAAAATGATCTTAAAAGCTCTGATTTTTATTCTACAGCTCTTCCACACCTTTCTGGTAAGTGCTTTAAGAAGAGTATAAATTACATCAACAAAAGGATATGTAATTACTTTTTACAACCAACGTAAGGCATGTTTACACCTCTAGATTGGTATAAAAATCCATAGGATAATTAGGTACCAGGCCCTTAAAGCTTTCATATATTCCCATAATTGCAGGGTTGTGCTGGATTCTGGCCCTGGACAGTACATGATCTCTACTTTATTGGTCATTAAACAATTAAACTATCTTTAAAACTTGCAGATGTACAGCACATCAGTTAATTTACAATCAGTGAAGAATATGTAGTTGTTTGTTAATTGTTACTACGAGTACATTATAACATGATTAGATACAGTTTGAGGTGTAAGGAGATCTTTAAGAAGAGATTATTCATATGCAACACTAATTGACCACAATAATTAAAGATGGAAGCTATCTATATTTTGTCTTAGGGCATGCAGAGTCTCACAGTTTAGAGGAGTCTAGGCACACTCAACCTCTTTGTAGAAGTGTTTATAGCAGACCTTGAAATGTTTTTCTTAAAGTCTTCTCCTTGCAGCCAGGATTAATGTTTTGCATCCCACTAAAGACCAGATCTCTGCTGAGAATTGGTTTGCACACAGAATTTGAATCTCTTTGGTGAATACGGTTGTAATTAATTACTTTGTTTATTTGCACATTTTAAGCTATCACAGCACCTTAACCTTCTATCTATTAAGACTGAGGTTTGGGCTTCACACTCTTTTTCTTAAACCCTGCAATTGACTCTAATTTCCCTTGATATTATGTGCTGTTATTATCATCCTTTATTGATTGTCTGTCTGTTGTCATTTATAAGGATATAAATCCTCTGTTATAAATTAAGTGTAGTCAGTCCTGCATTCATATTAATCAGCAAGAGTGTTCAGACTGCAGGACAACCTGCAATGGCCTGTTTGTCTTTATGTAGTTCCTAAATGCTTAATGATGGGTAGACACAGAAGAAAAACTGGTTATTTCTTATTTATTTTATATCAGTATTTAATAATAGCGGTAAATAACTACTTCATGCATGCTGCCATCTCCTAATGAATGCCTTGCTGGGCTTCTGTGCAAATCACCAAAGTCATACAGTATATTCTGAAAAGAGTTTGAAGCTCTTTTACATTTAGAGTGGAAAAGGGAACCTGGTTGGTATCAGTATCTTCTGAAACCCGATTAATATCAAGTCTCCATGGGTAATGCGCTACTGTCCAAAACTCTACTTCTTTGTCTTTCTTGTAGTTGGGAAATGACAGGAAAAGCCACTGGCTGTTTCTTGCTCTGGAATGTCCTTCCTAAACCAAACCAGCAGGAGTAAGAAAAAAACATGTGTAAAACTGCCTTGTAAATCATATTCTGATTTTAATATGAGCAGAGATAAATGTCAGAGACACACTCTCCCATCCATCCCCCTCTCCTACTACCACCACTGCTGCCTCTATTCTGACATGCATTAAATGATGTGAGCTATGCTGGCAAGAACCTGTCTGTCTGAAGATGAAAAATACCTGAAACACCTCATATTAATCAAGCGTGCTATGCAGTCAAAGCCTGGCAGGAAATGAACACGGGAGCAGATCAACCCGTTGGCAGGAGCAGATCAGCACATTGGCATCTTTGTCATAGTGATTATTGACTGGCCATAGAAGCTGTGGATTTATACCAGAACCTAGTCTATTAATCCCTTATTAGTTCTCTGGCATTGCTTTAACCACTGATAACTAATCGGATGCTCAGAGTTCTTTGAAAATCACCAACTTCTAGAATGTAGCCAAACTTGCAAGATGCTAAAAGACCTAAACTTGTGGAGAAACTGGCACATAATGTCAGTTAGATAAAATGTCAGAAAGACTTACTGGCAAAACACTGAACATTCTAGCACTAGGGTCAGACAGTTTGACTGTCTCTAAATCTTGAAAGTCTTTTCAGAGTGATATTCAGCCTAATCCTTTGATGCTCTGTATATATAGGTCTTTCTTCATCAGAGTTCCTCCAGCTGTTCCTTACTTTGATGTTACTTTTCACAGGGATTTGTGCCAGCCTTCTGCATAGGGCAAATTTTACTTATTTAAACAGTGTCCTGCAGGACTTTTCATTGCCATATGAAAAACTGAAGCTTCCAAATACCTTTTCATATAAGAGTACCTTTGTGAGATATATAGGCATCCTTCTGGATGGTGATGTTGTCTCTGCCCTCTACCATTTGACATGTTTACCTTTTCTTGCAGGTTGATTTGAGAAAGTAGAATCTTCCAACCTTTGGGTCTGCCCCTTTTGTCTCACTAGCATGAATACTTCTGAACTTCTCTCTCTTTGAAAAACTCCCACTGCTCCTTAGATTTAGGCAAGGCACAAGGTTTATAACTTGAGACATAGTTTTCATTAGGCTCTTTGCATTAACCCTCTTTTATTTCTACATTAAGTGCTATGTCTTTCTTTAATGCATATCCCAAAAGCCAGTCTTATGTCCTAAAGTTCATAGGTCTCAAAATGTAGTTCAATATTGGTTTTTTTTTCCCTTCTGCGCTTGAAAGGCTAAGGAAGTCTGAGCAAAAGGCTCTTCCTGAACACAAGAGTGGAAGAGTCACCAGGCTAGTGAGTCTTGATGGTGTGGAGAGAAGGATAAAAACAAGATGAGTGTGTTCAGTCGAGTCCAAAGTAGTTTCTTCCTCAGGCAGTAGGAGGCCAATCAGAGAAATCTGTAAGACTGAGACAGAAGAGCTAGAGAAAACCTGGTTAACTGAAAGCTTCCTACTTTATCTAGGAAATAATTGAAAAAATAATCTCTGGATAAGGAGTGTCCTCTGCAACCATTCAATTTTATCTCAGTGGAAAGAGTTTTCCTGTAGTCTTTCTTGGCAAAAGCATCTGAAAAATCCTTGTTAACTTCCTCTGGGGGAAGGTACCAACAGCCTGGGAGCATCCATGGAGCATCTGTGCAGGATCAGGTTGGAGTTGTAGTGGCTGGAGTTTATATCTCTCAGTTTTATCACTGTTAGGTGTCATTTGCCATCTACTGCTTTTTTGTGGTTGTTTTTTTAAAAAAAATATTTCACAAACATTGTGAAATTAGCAGCTGTCTCAGCGAGGCCTCTGGCCCCCAGCTCTTAATAAAGAAGTAAAATCTTGTCCTTGTGAGAGGCATGCAAGAAAGGAAGAAGACATTTCACAGCTGCAAGGAGTAAAACTCATCAGTTAGTGCCAAATCTCACACTACTGAATTTCAAATATCGATGTGTAGAATTGCAGAGACCATTTTTCTAAGGACATGCTGCAGTTCAGAGCACAGCAAAGGATGTCAGCCGGGAGCATGGGGAACGGGCTTCGCAGGGGGAGTCATGTGCTGCTGCGGCAGAGTCTCCCCACCGCTCCCGCCAGGGATGTGCGGTGTAGCACCTCAAGCCAGCGCATTAAAGGAACAACCAAGCCTTCACACAGAGAAAAACCTGCGGTTCCCCGAGCCTGCCTTATTGAGACATGGAAGCTGCCATCTCAAAGGTCAGGAGCTTCGGAGGAGTAGGAGACTTTTCTACAAGGCTCTGTTGAAGATCTATATTTAAGACCGGTAGTCTGGCCGTCAGAATCTCTGCGGGGTTTACATGCTGTTTGCACATAGCTAGAGACAGACTAATTACATGTACACATGCTTAACCTTAATGCCTTCTCTTCTCTCAATTATCTCGTCAGCAAAACCCTTTTAATGGCTTTTATCTAGAGTGCTTCCATGACCTTTTCTACTTAAAATGCTGTGCATTAACTTGCAGTCCCGGGGGCTGAGCTTTTAACAGATTTCCAACCACGTGAACTTTATTGGGAAGAAAGTAACAGTTGGTTTTGTCTGACCAATTTGATCTGCAATTCCGAGATGACTCCCAGATGGGTCTCCACTGTGGGCTGACTTAGAAATACTTGCAAACATGAAGAGCAGACTTAAAAACAGAGCATATAAATACTTGGGAATTACTCTTGAAACACCTGTTTGACCTTGGTAGCTTCTGTACCATGTGACAAGAAACTTGTAGGAAGAGAATGGATATCTACCACTAAGTTAGAAAATCTTCTATGTGGACAGTTGCAGCGTCAGTAAGTTACCAACCATGATCTTGGAAAAGTATTTGAGTTTTAAAGTGATCAGAAGGTCAATTCTGATTTCGCTTCTGTCAAACTTCTTTTCTTTTTTAAATGCAAAACTGTTCAGATAACCAAGGAAGTCTTTAATATCAGGACATAAAAGGAGAACTTTATACTGTCACTTTGAAGTAAATTTGAGATTATAATGCCAATATTTTACCGATTAAAAATATTAAAATGTATTTTATTATGTCTTCTGCAGCATAATTAAGCTTATGCATATCAGATGGACCACGTTCTTTCCATTATTTAAATGCATTCATTGAGATGCAGATGCTGATTTTTCAATAAAGATGTCTAAAGAGGAATTGTAATATAAATCATGGTTTCCAACATTCTGAAGGTTTTATGTTTTCTGTTCATATTTTTTACCATTTTTCTTGTAGCGGGTACTTTTTGTGCTAGGATGGTTTATTCTTGTTTCAGGAAATTATGTCCTAATGAAATAAAAATATTTCCCTTTTTAAAAGAAATAACTAATGCCTTTAGTTATCCACATTTCTAGAAGTAGTAAACATATCCTAAAGTGCTTGCTTGGACTTTTTATTGAGAACTGTAAGGACTGAAATGAAAACCTGAAGCTTGCTGATGTAGGTTTTTTCCTCTCTTAAAAAAAATTTACAATATTTTGAACTCTATCTGAAAGACTCATCAGACCCTTAGAATAAAATCCTTCTATATTGAAATCACTGGAAATTTGCTATTAATTGTAAAACATCCATGGCATCCTCCACTAAAGAAAATAATGCCCACTGAAATGAAGCAACCATGTGCATGCTAACTTGTGTTTCAGGAAAATGATAAAGGCAGTGGGAACATCCTGCTGGGAGGGGTTGTACTGTTAACTCTCAGGAGTAAACTCTTGGAAAAACTCTTCATACCACTGCCAAAGTTGCGCATTTCTTCAAGTGTGGCTGTCAGTGGGCAGTACACAGGTTATGTATAGAATTTCTATACAGTAATTGTGTAGCAAAATCAACCTAGCACATATAAATAGAGTTGTAATGTAGCAGTTCAACGGAAGGAAGAGGAATGAGTGGAGAGGATGGTGCTCAGCTGATTTTGCCTTCCTGACAGAAGGAGATTCATCTATCAATGATATCCAGATGATTTTTCTGATAACAGACTAACTTGAAGGCTTCTAATACAATTTTTTTCTGCAATAATAAATCTCTGGCAGTTACAGTATCTGAATATGCAAATATGGAGGAAAGTAAGTATTTTCATTTAAAAATAAAATCTTATATGTGTTAACTATTAATTATAGAAAGTATTGCACACAAAAGCAAATTGAAATACATCTTGTGGCTCTCATAATAAACAGATCCATCAAAGAATATGAATAAGAAACAATACATTTAGTAGGGGACTGTAGCCAAAGAAGCTCGTTATGACTGTAGAATGACTTTAAAATATATGACTGTATATCAGGATGATTTGGTGAATCTCTTAACTACAAAACTTTATGATGTCTACAGGTCATTAAGATAATATTATAACCTTCCAAAAGCATACAGGGAATTATGATACATGGCAGGAAATAAGGCCCAGATTCTAATGAAAATTTAAAGTAGTATCAGATAAATTCTGGTTTTAGAACTCAATAATAATGCATAGTTCATAAATTGTGACATCAAGTTTTAAATTAGGGCAAGAAGATTCTGAGTAATATGCAGCTTCTGAGGTTAAAAAAATGCATAGAGCTAAATTTTCAAGTCATGGTGTAGTCATCAGGGAGTTTGTGACACAGGGCATGAAGGTGGATGTTCTTCTCATTTCAAAACTGACATCTTTGAGCATTTCTTCATTTTTCGGTGTTGGTATTTATAGGTTGTGGATGTCTTTGAGAAGTGTACACTGTCCTTGCTCTATTTGCAGGCTTACTATAGCTTGTACAGCAGTTAAGACTCACGTTCCTTTATGTCTCTTTCAAACAAACATAGCTTTTGGTGAAAAAAGGGGCATTTTTACATTTTTTAACTTAATGTCTTGATTTCTTCTCCATACAAAGACTCATCTTCCAAAAGTACTTAAAAGCTTTAAAAGTTTGTGACCTGTTTTTGAAAAGTATGGAGCAAACTGTCATTTCTCAGTGGGAATTGTGGATACTTTTTGGAAGCATAGGTCATTGGGCTTTGGTAGAAATTTTCCCTTGGAAGCAGGAGGAACAAAGCTTTTCAGGCTTCAAAACCACTTGTGGATAGTTCCTCTTTCGCAGAATACAAATGCACGTGGCTGTCACTAGTAATATTTTTGAAGCTTTATTAAATGTATTTTATAGGATTCAAAGGGTATTAGTCCATTTTTTATACTCAAATAGCAGTTTTCTTCTTAAACTTACTATAAGCTTGGTAATTTCAGAAAAATAGACCTGTCTATTACTATTCATTCCTCTGAGAACTATGGAAATTACATCCTAAAGCAGTAAGTTGAAGAAATTGCCTGGAATGTATTTAAAGAGGCATTATATTAAATGACAAAATATTTAGGTGTTATTTTTTGTTGTTGGAAGGCAGTATGCCTTTATGTTCTGTGCTGTCTTTCATATAGAGAAAACATCTGTCTAATTAAATACTTGGCATAAAATGTTTATGCAACTTCTAGTAGATTAGAGGATGTATTGACTCACAATATATATAATCAGTTCAATATACACGAATGAATATCATATCAAGATAAAACAAGAACATCTCCAATTCCCAAGAAAAATCTTTATTGTATGTGATATGACTGATCCTAATTCTTTAAGCAGCAGTAAATAATAAACAGATGCTGTTGCCAGATTATAATTCACAATCAGAACTTTAATTGGGCGGACTTCATGTTTGCTTGTCTGATCTGGGGAATTGTGTTGTATTAAAAGACTCAAGAAATTTTCTGAAAGTGTTTATTCTCTGTACAGTCATGGATAATTGAAAGAGATGTGTTCACCTATCAATTACCTAGCTCCTGTCTCAAGTCTTTGAGAAACTCATCTGTGGAATAATAAACTGCAGGAATCATTTTGTCCCCTCCCCTTGAAAGAATCCCCAATACAGAATGAGAAATTAATACAATTAGCCTTTGTTCCTAATCACTGATGGTTACTGTTGCACAAGAAGTGCGTCCTTCTCTCAAGGTTGTTACTATTTTGTGACTCACGAGTGGCAGTCAGTGGGTTCCGTGTTAATTTTTCTCCTCCGCTCTGTTTTCTTTTGTTTCCCTCTCTGCTAACTGGGAGCAGTGCCTACAGCTCCACCGCAGAATGTGCAAGTTGAAGCTGTGAACTCCACAACCATTCAGTTCCTCTGGAACCCTCCACCCCAACAGTTCATCAATGGTATTAACCAAGGATACAAGGTAAATAGAAATAAGGTTTCTGTGACTTCAAATAACATTTGCCTTAACAGTCCTGGTATATAACAATTGGAAGTTTAATTTAATAATCTCTGAATCTCCAAAATAACTGTATATTTTCAGGAATATCTTACATGAGCGAAATAAAGAGAGAAGTGAACAGTTGTTGCTCCTAACACTTGCAATTCATGTAAGTTCTCAAAAGGGAATATGTCACAGGGTAGAAGTCCTAATACCTTTGTCATTTACCTGGAGAGTTTCCAAAGCCAAAATGCAGTTCAATATCATCAAACAGTTTGGAAATTCAGCACAGGAGATATGTTGTTATGCCACTGAAAATCAACCTTGAGATTTCTATTTACTCTGATTCAAAATTCCCATTCGTTTCATGAGGAACCAAAACATCACACTAAATATTTGTCTTAACTTTCCCACTGTGATGATTTGGGAGAGTTAAGAACATAAAATTTATTAATCATGCTTGATGACACGGAGTTAGCATGGTAAGTCCCTGTTGATGGGGCAACTGGCAGTATCTATTATAGTACGCAGAGTAGAGAGTGCTTAACAGAGCACTTGTTGGTACTTTGACCAGTGGAGTGTATGCTAAGAATGTAACTGGAGTGGTTTATTTCTGCGTCTCAGGAAGGACTGCTTAATAGAAATGTCTTCAGTGGTTCAGCAGTAAGGGCATCATAAACAAAGGGTTTGAAAACATTAATGGAAAGAACAAAGAAAAATCTTGTAGGAGTAAGAGAGCAGGAAAAGGGAAGACAGGTATGTTTTGTGAGCAGGGAGGAGGAATGTTGATTTAGGTACTGGGTGAAGGAATGTTGAGTGGGCTGAGGAGGATGTGTAGTTCAGAAGACAAGCTGTGAACTGAGGGATTGTAGGTGGATTTGAGAAGTTTCAGAAGACTTGATCATTCTCTAAGAATGTCTCAAAGTGATAGAGAAACTGAGACAGAGGTATGCATGGCACTTTTAGTAATTTTGCCCAGACCTACGTATTTCTCGTAAAGAACAGTGGTGGTTTCAGAACCTTGCTGCTGCAGTACTGTGTACGTGGAGATACGTATGCCTGTTTCCCCCAGAGATAGAATCAGCTCTCAAGACTAGATGACTTGATAGGGCTGCAGAAGTATATCCAGAAACCTCAATACAGAAGTGGTACTTGACTTCTGTTCAGGCTCTGGAGAATAAAAGCACTTTTTGGCCTCAGTGGACTGCAGTGCACTATAATTTTCTGGTGCAAATCCAAGTATGGTGAGCTCAGTCAGATTTGCAAAAGTCATATTTCTGATTTTTATTCTTCATTTTATTCAGAGTTTCAGTCTAAGGATCCTCAGTCTGATTGCATATCTACCTATAATTTATGTTTCATAAAATCATATAAAATCATAATTTGTATCTGTCAGTGGTCAGTGAAAACTTTTGAAATGATCAAAATTTCTCTTTCTCTGGATTTCTTTGATTGCAATAGTTTGCAACAACTTTACCATTTGTTTCTCATAGGGATTGTGAATTGCAGCACGAAGTCTCTGAGAACATTTCTGTCAGTTACTTCTATAGAATAGTTTTTTGTACGATTCATAAATTACTAGTAGTCAAAGCTAGGCCTTTGCTTTGCTTAAGGATGAAATCCATTTTTTCCTTTAACTGACAGAATTGTTCACCTGTATTTTCTGCACGTTTCCTGAAGAACGTGCAATGAAATGCACTGAAAAAAGAAAAGTCCAGTCCTCCAAAGTTATAAATGCCAATTGTCATCTACAAAGGTGATTTAGACAAGAAAATAAAACATACTATCGCATCAATCATTTTCCATTTTTATCTTTTCTTTGAAATTTACTTGCATTTCAAGAAGCTGTAAAGTGCACCTTTTCAAATATGAAATATTCCTAACAAAATTACTCCTTATGGTCCTTTAACTGTGCTGTCTGATTATCAGAAACTATAGACATTGTCTAAATGTGTCAAATATGGCTCATTAATTTCAGGCATCTATTCATGTTTATGAGTCTGAAATCAATACAAGTAGCACAATTTACACAGATACTGAGTAAGGCCTTCCTTGAATTTTAACGTGCTCATATGAGCCATATGATGAGGATTTTTGGACAAAATAAAAATTTCATAAGCAGTTTAAAGCTTTAAACCCCTAAGCTATTAAGGTGATTTCAAAAATTGTTTTAAAATTTCAAAGTCATTTGCCAAAAATGAATTTTTTAAGTCCTCATTTAGGTACCTACACATAGGGTACTCTACTCTAAAAAATATTGATCATCCCGAAGTTCTACTTACTGAGATAAATGAAACCTGGAAGAACTGAACATATCTGACAAGCACACTGTTTTAAATGCATGAAAATGTCTTCAGGAGTCTAACTTCTGGGAGTCAGGTGTTTAAAATTGTAGTAATCATCTTTATAACCATTTTCTATTCTTTCTGTAGTTCCAGAACCACTTGAAGCATTCACAGTGTGGATATCCCCAAACCACCAAACACTGTAATACTCTTTCTTAGCCTGTTAGGCTAGGCTGGTCAGTGGGATGCTGGGGGACTGAGGGCAGGAAAGAGGATGTGCGTGTGTCCCTTTTTCTCCCCCTTATCCCACTAACTGCCCCAGCCAGTGGGGTCTTTAAAGGAACCCCAAAATAAGATAAAGCATTTATCTCATTGTAGCACTGAAAGTACTTTTCTGCCTTCCGCTTCCTTTCAGCAGCAGAGATTGTCCAGGGTGGTCAGAGCAGCCCAGAGAGAGTCAAAAGACTCGTGTCATACTAATGATAATTTGCAATAATTTGGGCATTGTTCAGTAGCAGACATTGAGAGTTGCAATACCTCCACGGTGTCGGTATATCCCCCATCACTAGTGAGTACGATACACATCCCTCCAGTTATCATAGTAGCAGTGTTATACCCATCTGTTCAGCGTCAGAGCTGACAGTAGTTTAACAGCGTTGCTTGTTTTTTTACAATCAGATTAAGATGGTTTTGGCAGCCAAGCATACTTTGATTCCAAATAGACACAACTTCTAATGCAAGCTCATCCATGTTTTAATTTTCTAGCTTCTAGCATGGCCCGTAGATGCTCCAGAGACTGTGACTGTGGTCACCATTGCTCCAGATTTTCACGGTGTTCACAGTGGTTGCATCACCAACCTGAAGAAATACACTACTTACTATACATCGGTTCTGTGTTTCACCACACCTGGCGATGGGCCACGGAGCACACCCCAGCTCCTGCGCACCCTTGAAGACAGTGAGTAGTCAGCACTGACAGAGAATCTCGGTGCTCAGATCTTGTTTGTTTGGATATAAAAGTCAAAATTTTCAAATCCAGGTGCTTAAAATTTGACCTCAAGTTCACAATCAGTTTGCAGTCTCTGGTTAAGTTACTTTGCATCAGATGATCACCTCAGCCCATTGTCCATGTGTGTTCTTTTAGCCTGTGGCAAAGGAATGATACTTGATAATTTTTTCATTACAGACTAAACCCAGACAATTTTTTTTTTTACGTTGGTCAGAAGCTGAAAGCTTCATAGTCTGCTTCAGCTAACACACAGCATGTTGTTCGTGTTTTTGAACCCTTATGCTCTTAAATCCATGTTCATGCATCCAAATAAATGTGTATTATCTGCTTAGGAACTGAGCACTGGAACTTCCTATGGAGGTCAATGATTAATTTGCGATTGTTTCCTTCTGTTATTCAATATATTGAAAATGTCTGTATCAATATCATATTGCAAGTGTTTGTATAAAAGAAACAGGATTATAGCAATGCAGTAACTTTTATTCCACAAAACTAGAGTCAAGATGAAGTAAAATGAGCTGGATAGTTTAGCATATAAATTATTTCCTGCATCAAAAAATGTTTTGGCCTCTGTGGCCCCTTGGAAGTGTTTGCTCAAGACATATTTGGGAATAACAAGTCTAGCAATTGTCTGATGCAGATAACTAAATTGCAGTGGCCCTCACAGCTGTGTGTCTACAGTGATCTTGGCTCTGGACAGCGCTTCAGTATCTTCCTGTCAGGGAGCATCATAAACACTGCTGCACATTTACAGATCCGAATCAGAATTAAAAAATGTCTAATACATCCATTAAGGTATTGTTTTTAGAAATACTACTTTGCCTTAATAGGGATCTTTTAGGTTATACTACTTTGCCTTAATAGGGATCTTTTAGGTTAGTCAGTGTTCCCATAAAGAAAAATCTGATTATCATTAACATTCACAGAAGTGAGGCTCAAAGTGCTAATCCAATTTTTCATGAGATACTCTTGAAAGAACATGAAGAAAATTAAATACATTCCCATGGATTTTCCTTTTGTAGTTAGTCTCTCCATATGCTAGACCTGTGTGCCAAGAGCAGATTGTAAACTTAAACCTTTGCTTGTTAGAAGATCCCAGAGATAGCGATTTAACTACCAGAAATCTATGTGAGCCATTGATATGAATTTATACTTGTTTATCTGGGATTAAAGCAAAAGGCATGGAGGAATAAGAAACATGCACTAGGTTTCTGTGTGTAGTATTAACTTTTTTGCCTGTTTTCCTAAAGAAATTAAGCTTTTGACAATGATGGTTTAGATGTATTCAACTGTCTGTCTTAGGTCCATCTGTCTTTCTCTCTCCAATGACATTTGAACCCTGTGGCTAATTTCAGTGAGTACAAAAGAGTAAGAAACTAAAGATATGAGACTCCTAGAGATTTCACACAAATTAATCAGCTGGGAAGAGGAAAGAGACTATTAGTATATCTGCTGAACAAAAGGCTGCAGAAATGAACCTTAAGACTGCACGAAGTGGGAGAAGGGGCACAGTCAAGACACTGAGAGTATCTCAGGGAAATGTTGGGGTCACATGCCATTTTAAACACAAGAACATTCCATCATGAAACATATAATGAGGCAAAGCCAGGCTTGTATTCTGTAAAACATTTAAAACATTTCTTGGTGTATGAAGCTGTATGCTGTAAGGATCCTCAGCAGCAGAGTTAAGCAGGAGACTTTTTATTTATTTATTTTTAATCCTTCAGAATTGCTTTCTTTGGTTTTCACGGTGACCAAGAAGCTAAGTGCAGGATGGTATAACGCATCATTGAATCTAAGTGGCTTCAGGATTTATGAGGTGGGAAAAAGATTCGAAAGGACTGTCATTCATGTTCTCAGGTGATCATTTTCTGTCTCTATAGCAAAGTTAGGCGATCCTTTAGGAAAAAAATAGTGCAAACAGGTCTGTTTGCTGATGAACTGGAGGTCAAATAGAATCTGACATCTAGTCAGAAGCATTGTGTCCTGGCTTGGAGTAACCTGCACCTGTTTTTCATTATGACATTAAAATTGGACTGCAACTGCAGAAGCTAATTGGAGTAAAGCTCTGCAAGAATGTGGTTTGCATGTCTGCAGATACATGGTCCCAAATAGTGCATAATTTCTGTGCTCTTGGTGGGTATTCCTGAGATCGCTACCAGATCAGCAGTTCTTTCTGTAATGCTTTGACTACTAGATAGCGCAGAATGGATTTGGAAATTTTCCTCACTAGGATTGCAGAATTGCAAATGTGGTTGTAGCCAACCTACTGGCAGGCTTTGGTGGTTTTTTTGGGTTTTTTTTTTTGTTTTGTTTTTTTTTTTTAATCATAGCTGGAGGGGGATGAGAAACTGGACTAAAGTGAAGAGGAAACAAAATATGAAATTGCAGACGAGAAATTGCCAACTGATGTCAGTGGAGCTGGAGGATACTCGGGCAGGGATCCAATGACAGAAGCACAGTGAATATAAAGTGAACAAAAACTCCTTTTTCCAGTACATCGATTGAAGACAGAACAGCAGTTGGATCAAAAATCAGTCAGGATGTCTTCCTTGAAGATCAAAATTGAGGGAGGATGGCATATTCTTGACAGTCATTCCATTTTATGCTCTTTCATTGCACACTAGGGAGCTGAAATTTTTAAGAGCTCTTGAGCTACATCATAAAAATCCTTTAGAAGTTTCACACACTTGTATTCATTTTACAGAAGACAGTTGCCATTATGTTGGACATTTTCAGAGCTGTTTTGAGAGAATCTATCCAAGCAGTGACTTGGTGACTCTGTCCTTGCCTTGACCTTGCATAGGCAAAAGGCTCTTTCCAGGTGAGGGGGGTGCTGGTGATGTTGCTGCAGACCTCAGGCCAGATAAACTGCACACAGCAGCACAGGTAAATGCTGCACGCCGTCGCTGAGGGAAAACAGCAAACACAATTGCTTCCAGGACTGCCAGCTTGATTGTTCTAATTAGATTAGATCAAGAAGAGAGGCAGAGTACAAGTTGTGTGCAAGTCTCCTGCTGCCACTCTCTTTAGTTGTCTGCACAGTTAGGATGATGACTGGATAAAATAATTTATGTGATGATAGCCAGAGTGCTTCATAACATCTTGCCTTCTCCCCGCTCCCCTGCAGCTCTCACTGATGTTTCCAGCCGGCTTCCCTTGGCCCTGGCTCAGTGTTTTATTTCTTCAGCCCTAACCTTGCCACATGAATCAGATCAAAAGTAAGTGGGGTTCTCCTGTTAACAGATTTCCTTTTCTGATTGCCAGAGCCAGGAGCTGTGGGACACCTGAGTTTCACTGAGATTCTGGACACGTCTCTCAAGGTCAGCTGGCAAGAACCTGTAGAGAAAAATGGTATCATTACAGGCGAGTATCAGCTGCTGTCTCCGGTTTGGGGTTTTTTTAGGTGTGTGTGGGGTAGAATGTATCACTGCAGTGAAAAAATGTTTGTGTAATAGAGCATTTAGGAAGAACTGGCCACTGTGAGTGCTGGTTTCCTGGTCCCTCTTTTGGGTAATGGAAAGGTTATAGAAAGTACGGGCCCAATTACTGGCAGCTCCTGATTGTGGTCACTGAAAAGGCAGTCTCTATTAGAAATCAGCTCCCCATGGAGTTTCTGGTCATGTTAAATCTTCTGTGACCTCCACCTGCGTTACTAAATTTCTGAAACTGAGTGAGACAGTGTTTGGCCTTTGCCCTAAAGGTGGGGGGTTCTTACATGGAGTTTACAGCTGCAAAATATGGATTGGCACTGCTAAGATTTGCAATCAAGACCAAGCCTGAAATCAGCAGTATTCTTCATCTCTGATCAAGTGGTCTGGCTGAAGACTGCGTGACAAAATTTGCATGTCATTACTTAATTTTGTATAAACCATCACAAGGGTTCAGAACTCTCCTGTTTCTCCTTGGTGAGCTTGCCATTTGACATGCTATTTATCTATTTACTGTATGCCGGTGTAGATACAACATCAGCAATTTCATTATTTTTCATAAAAGAAGCTATAAATAGTTGAGAAAAACTCTATTTCTTATCAACAGAGGCAATATTGTTTTCAGATGGGAAACTATTACAGCTGCACAGGATGGACATTCCATTTAGAAAGGCTTTCAAGGTTTTGAAGTGCAAGAAAGCTCCCAAATTTTAAATTAGTGGAGCTAAAAATCATACTTGGGAAGGAAGAAGATCATTTCACATGGATCAAAATATTTTGTTTTGGGAGCATTGAAACTGAAAAGTTTACTTTTTTTTTTTTTTTTTTTTAATTGTATTATAATTTGTAAAAACAAATACATTGCAAGAGTTTTAAAAAAAACAGACTTCCTGTCCCCTGAATATTGAAATGATATATCAGTCTAATATCTTGAAGCATTTTAACTTTGACAGACCTAATTATTTTGCTAGGACTTAACATTTCTCAGTGTTTTCTCTGTGTATCTGTAACATGCATAATTTGTATATGTGTCTTCTGTGCTGTTTGTAGTGTCTGTGTATAGTAGAGTCCATACACAGATCATCTTTTATGCCTTTATGCTCTGGTATCCCTCTTGAAATATGCATTGATTTAAGTGGTCCGAGCAAATACACTAATGACTTCTGAAAGCAGAGCAGTATTGATTCAGTGAAAATGGCCAAAGCCTTCAAACCTGAGTGCTTAAGTTTAGGTACCTAAATCCAAGTCTAGCTATCTAAGTAAGATGATGTAATACTCATCTTTGTTAAGCACAAGTTAGCTGCACTATGCTTGGTGTTGCAGAGTCACTTACTTAGAAAGGAGCTGCTGCCTCCCAGAATGGGTTGAAACCTGGTGGAGCACGATGATGGACCCTGTTTTATACAGGGCAAATTGTTTCAGAAAGGATTAAGCCAAGGAGCTTTATTGTTCATGATGAAACACCAGTGTAAAAATGCCCAGCAAAGCTTATAAGGAAAGAGAAATGTCCTTAATGATGCAAACTGCATTTGGGTTAGAAAAAAAGAATAGGAAAATTGTTCATGCCCTGGGTATCTCAAAGGTTTATAGAGTCCTGCTTGGCGATCTGAGTGCTTAGAAAGGCAATTATTCATCATTTCTGCTCATTGATATCTTTACTTGGACCTTCTCGTTCCATGCAACAGAGCTGGGAGGAGGAAAGCACGGAGGGTGGTGCCCGGCAGCCAGCCTGCTCTGGGAAATTGCCCATTACTCTTGCTGTAAATTTCAGTATCTTCCTTGTTTTCTCAGTAAACATTGATTTATGAGGACCTGGATGTAGACGGACAGTTTGTGATTGGGTGTACTGCTCTCTTGTAGAGAATTTACTCCAGATCAACAGAAAATTATTTCTGAAACTCCTCTGGTCATTAGTTTCTGTTAGGCAGCATTTTGTGGAGGGTGTAGTGCCAAAGCATACGGGAAGGCTCTGTGGCACCTCTCCTACTCTCACTTACGCTGAAGCCAGAGGAAACACTCAGCCCAGGCCGGCTGGACTCCCCTGTGCACATTTCTGGCAGTGATCGCGTCTGTAAAACAGAGAGCGCATTTTTACCAACCACATGTCCTAAAGTTCTGCCCATCTGTCAGTCATTGTGGCTTAAGTGCTACTTGGGGGTACGGTGGATGTTGTTTCTTTCCTTCAGCGTTTTTTCATCTGTTTTTGTTATGCATGATTACATTTGGCTTTGTGTCTGCTCAGTGTCTATGTATGTATTTTCTGCTTGCATTTTTTTGTGTGACTAGAATTTAACTATACATTCGGGACTGAAATATTGAACAGTAAATGCTGCCTCTTTGCCTTTTCTTCAATTTGCATGTGAACGCAGGGTATTTTTCCTGGTGAACATTTTTTCAGAAAATAAATACATAGAGACTATGTGCCTAATGGGCAGGAAAGCTGGGTCTCATCCCTGTGGTCACAAGGGAGAAAACATAAAATGTTCAAACAATAACCTCCAACATTTGATGTATAGTCAAAGCTTATCTAGATGGGAGAGAGGATATCTCAATCACTTAATATTGCCTAGTGCATGGTGGATGAAACTTTCTATTGTTCGTAAGCAACAAATGGATAGAGGGAGCAATAAAAATCCCCTGTTTATCTGCTTCTGGTTATTTATTGCTTTGAGCAACCTGTTTTGTTTTGTTCTGTGGTGATACTCCTTGATTCCCCCCGCCAGCCCACGTTTAGGGTTCAAAGCAGGCGTAGCCAGGTCGTCTGCAGCTCCCGGGCAGCCAGATGAGCTCTTGCCCAGCCTCTGCTCCGTCCATGGCTGCACATGGACATTCTGCTGGCTGGGGACACAGCTGCTGGGTTTGTGTCCTCTGCTGGGAAGTGGGGAGAGGCACGACTGCACCTTCCTCAGAGTCGTCACATTGCCCTGTCTGGGACAAACAGCACGGCTTTTGAAAGAAAGGAGTGTTTGTGATGGTCATTCTGTTTGCAACTCCCTTTTAACTCTTCACTGAAAATCAAATAGAGTGCAGAGTCATCTCCCACATTTCTGTTTGCCCTCTCTTAATAAAGGCAATAGTCCTTAAATTTTGTCAAAATCCTTCATACAGATTATAGACTTGCCTGTGCTTCATAAACTCTGATCACTGGTGAATGATTCTTCAGGCTTTTCAGAGCATCAAAACACCCCAGTGTCTCTGAGATATTGGTAAATGACTGAATTAATTCCCATTCAGACACTTAAAACTGGTTCCAGATGAGCATTCCGGAGTTCTTTCCCTTCCCTTAGTTAGTGCGTAGTCAGACAAGTGGTTGCAGTGTAGCTGGAATTCCTGAAAGTGATTCTTTATCACTGCCCCCTCACTTGAAGCATAATTAGTGTCTATGTGAGCACTCCAAGCCCATTTTCATGCAAAATTAGGTTAACGTGAATCTCTGTCAGTGATGGCAACTAGCACTAGGGTAAGGATAACATCTCACACCTCTCACACTCTCACAGAAATGTCTGTCTCATCATGCCTTTAGTTCATGAGAAGACTTTTCTTTGTTGATTAATATCATAACATATTTTGTTATGTCAGTTTGTATATGTTAATCAGCTTGTCATGGGTTCTTTTATTAAAAAAAATTTAAAAAGGAAAAAAACCTTCAAGTCCCCCAACTGGTCTGAATTCCTCATCTTAGACGGTGGGAACAGGAACCCAGTAGGGAGGTTCTCTAGCCAGCTTGCCTTGTGCATGGTTCACTCAGTGGGATTCCTTTCTGTTAGTCCTTTTCACTCACTTCCATTTCACAGGCATTCAAGAGCTACGTGTATTTTTTTTTTTCCCCCCTGAGTCAAATCACAAAGAAAGCTGCAATCAAGCAAACTTTTCAGACACACTCTCTGGAGGCTGTCACAGTGAGGTTCAAATGGGTTCAAACGAGAATAAAGTAGGACTGGGCAGGAGGAGGACAAGCAAATTTGGAGGTAAAATTGAGCAAATCAGACTGTAGAAAGTTTCAAAAGTTCTTGGAAGGCAAATGGTTATAAAAGTGATGAAAAGGAAAGCCTGGTTACGATAGAAGAATAATACAGAGGTCAGGGTGACTGCAGTTTTGGACAATACATTGGCTACACTATGATTTTGAAAGAAAGGATAATGATTCACCCTGCTAAAGGATTTGTGTGAGGAACAAGCAGTGGGGAGTAGAGGTTTTTCAGTTCCTAGAAGATTCCCACAATGTTCCTGCCTGATTGTTATTGTCAGATTTGTAAGTATTTCTAGATAGACAGCAGTGAAGGTTACTTCAGTCTGGAAAGAGAGTAGCCATACTAAGTACATATAGATTTTTAATTAGGTATTCCAGCTGGTGAGAAGATGTTATAGATTCCAGTGTTTCTTCCTATTTGTTTCATAGAGTTCACAGAATGAAAGGTCCACCCTTCTGCAAGGTTATCCCCAGGTTTTCTAGCCACTTCATAGCAAGCACCGTGTCACTGTAGAAAAAAAGACAGTAGGTTGATGGGCAGATGATACCCAGTGGGGTCCCTATATCAATTGTTTATTGGAAATGAGAATATTAAGAAAATATTTGGGTATTTTCAACTGTTTCTTTTTCTGCTTAGAGAAGATGACCACAATGGAGTAGAGTAAGAAACAAGCCATACCACCATAGACCAAAAGCAAATCTTGTAGAGACAGGAATTTACTACTCTCTGGGTTATTGCATAACTGCTTTAGGAGAAAAAATAGACCCCACCACTGCCATGGCCCCCTGACTTCTGTGTAATTGTTTTTCAGGGTACCAGATCTCCTGGGAGGTGTATGGCAAGAATGAATCTCGTCTTGCCCGCACACTACCCAACACAACGCTGGAGTACAAGATCACAGGGCTGTCATCTCTCACCACTTACACAATCGAGGTGGCAGCTGTGACCGCAAAAGGGAGCGGCTGGATCACATCCTCCACAATCTCTTCCGGTGTGCCCCCAGGTTGGTGAAACTAAAATCGGCTGATTCCTCATGGTTTTATGTTCCAAAGATCACAAATTACTTCAGGAATAATAAAATTGGTTTTATTTATAAAGCATTGGAGTTCTTTACCACATAACTTAAATTTAGTTTTTAAAACCGATTAAAACATTAAAATGAACACACTTGCAATTTGAAATTACCAGAAGTTGAGGCTGTTTAATACAAATATAAAAAATGATGTAGGGATGGCAGAAGAAATGAACGAAGTAATAAAGTAGATACAATACAGACTCTCTTGACATTTATGAAGTAACATAAGAATGAAGCCTGAATCAATTCAAAAAGTGTTGCTTTGGGAGAAAAATAGAGTTTGGATGATGTTACGAGAGAAGGGTTTTTCCATTTATAAGTAGTATAGCTTATGTCACCTATGAGAGGACATGTATAATGAAACTCAAATTTTATTTAAAAGATATGGGAGTGGTTGCCCGAGAAAGATTTTGGAGAAAGTATTCCTGTATTGCATTGTCTGAGTTACCATTTGGACACCTGTAAATTTAGTCTTTTTGCATTTTGTTTATAAAAATTCTACACTCTCCCTCATACAGTATAGAAAGCAAACTAAAAAACCAATTCATACCTCAAAGAAGCAGTTTCAGTTAATTTGTAGGTTATAGAAGTAGAATTTTTCAAAGCTGAGCAGTTAGCGTACATCACTGATGGTAATCCAATTTTTACCTTTTCTGGTATTTTTACAATTTTCTATATGTCTTGAAGTATGTCTGCCTTTCCTTTCCCTAATCATAGCTAAATGTGACAAGTTGTAGCCTGGATCAAGGCCATGCTCCCTGTTGTTAGCCAGATAACAGCATTATCCTACTCGGTCAGGGTTAGTTTATCCATTATAGTTCCCACAAATGTGAAGTAAGAATCAAAAATATTGTGTGTTTGTGCATACTTGAAATATATGCCAAAAAGCTGCCCATTTTTTGCCTGCAGCACTTGTACATAATACAACATTATGAACGATTGCTGATTATAATAGTAATTTCCATTTTACTTACAAATGCAGGTATTATTGGGAATTTATTCTAAACCATGTATATTTAATCTCTTTCCTGGGCTTGCTTTTGTTGATAATTCAGATAATATTAAAAATGTAAATGCCACTGTAAGCTTGACTGATGTGAGGCAAAGATCTGATTGGAGCTGCAGATTTTTCCTCGTAGAAGGTCACCCTCTTTATTTGCAACAGAAATTTTTTTAAAAATTCATCTACCTTATTCAGGCATCAGAAATGCCCTCTAACATTCGTCTATTATAGGTCAATATAAGAGTCACAAAATCTTTCCTATACATGATCCAAAAATTTGATTCTTTTTCTGTGGTTAATGTATTAAAGTTGTATGTACCCTAAGAAATAAGTATAAATTATTGTAATTTAATTCTGGAGAAACAGAAGTACAGTGTAATTAGGTGACTTGATGAGTGATTGGCAGATCTGGAGCTGGGAAGTACCATCCCCCCTGGGCCACCACGCTTTGTCGGTTGTGCAACTTTTCTAAAATAGTAGCTGTAATTCTGTAGATAGGCTCTTTCTTTTCTTGTTTGATCTGTAAAGATGTGGTGCATGCTCAGAACGGCAGAAATCATATTGCTGTATGTAATAATCCGGAAAAAAAAAAAAAAAAGCCAACAACAGAAAAAACCCAAACCCACAGCTATTTGCTCTATTATAATTCTTACCAAGGTATTTTATGTGCTGAAACACTGAATGTCAGCCTGTGTTACTGGGCCCTTGATGAAGCGTCTCCAATTCTCATTTCTGTTTCTTCAGAACTTCCAGGTGCTCCATCCAACCTGGTGATTTCCAACATCAGCCCTCGTTCTGCCACGCTTCAGTTCCGGCCAGGGTATGATGGCAAAACCTCCATCTCTAAATGGATAGTCGAAGGCCAGGTACGTCCCTGACAAAAAACTCTTAATGAAGTTTCTGAGGGGTTAAAAAAGGGTCTAGATAGTGAATTGCTGTTTGGATTACAGTTTTTGTTTAACTGTGGATCAAAACTCTCCAGTATATTGCCCGGTGGTAGCTGTTCAGGACGTCCTGGAAAGTTTGGAATGCAAGGGAGATTGAGGGCCTTAGCTGAGACATGCCTGTGAGAAAAGGGTCATAGGAATGCTGTAACTTCTGTTCAAAGGAACAAAGGAAAACCATGCTATAGAGTGTATATGTGTGAGAATGCTTATCCTTTAAAAAATTCACATGGATTTTTGTAAAGCAGCTTAGCTTGTGTTCAGAAGAACACCAGATCCATCATAAGCAACACATAACAACAGAGCTTAAGTCCATCCATTTATCTAAAAAAGGATTTGAAACCTGTGTTTAGGTTCTGTTAGGTGTATTTTCAAACTAGATGCAAACCTGGAATTATTATCTAATAGTCAGGAATGTAGGAAGAATTGCACTGAACAGCAAAGATGCCATTATTCGTGAGACTGAGTGTATTTTTCTGTCTTGTAATGGAATACACTGAGGTTTTCTATCCAGGCCTCTAGATATGAATAGGATGAATTCTTCTCTTCATCAGCTTTAAACAATATCCTTCTTTCTGCTGTCATTATGCCTTGGAGGAGTTATATATTCCTCATTTGTTCTCCTGACAGATGAGCTTTGCTTCTTCCCTTCCACCCACAGATCTTTATAAATAATACAATCTGTTTTTAAGACCAAATGTTGGACTTCTTAAATCACCATCACCACATAGACATGTTGATACAATCACTTCACTTGGTAATGAGATTGTTGTGAACAAGTTGGTACATTTTGTACCATTTACGTACACATTAGTGCGTACTACGGAATTAAACACTGAAATCCTATAACATGGTGGCTTGGCACATTCTGAGAAACATTTTTGTGCAGGAGCACCACGTTGATATTGCTAGGAATTAATCCTGTGAGTTGCAGAACGCCACTGAAGTGAAATAAACTTGAATGCTTTAAAACTGCAATAATAATGATCATTAATTTCATCTGCATCCTTGAAGAGCCCCTAGTAGTTGAAGGGAAGGGAGGCTCGCTCTTGTTCGCACACCCTCATCAACACCTCATGCATTGCTAGAGAAGTCAAGAGGTTAGTGGTTCTGATGGATCCTGGATCAAGGGATATTTGCTCCATTTGGAGAAGGAGCACAGCCGAAGTCTTTGCAGAGTCTGAGCAGTTCTTTTCACCATAGCTACCCTGCAAGTTTCTTCTGTGCCATACCTCACCATTTAGCTTTGGCACAACAAGAAATGTTGTTCCAAGTGGATTTCATTTTTTAAAAAAAATTCTTGCTCACATGATTAACAAAAATCTTTTCAGGTATGCAGAGAAATTGGTGACTCCTTAAGGCTACGGCAAATCCTATTTTCAGGATGACAGCTGCATATAATCATTTGTTCACAGCCGCTTTCTGCCAGCACTCCACTCAAACTCCCTTTCCCTCCTGAAGTGCAATTTTACAGCACCTTTAGCCAATCTAAACCAGAGCTCTTGTTGTCCTGCTCCTGTTCCCTCCCCTTATCCCCATCACTCTTACCAAGACTTTCTTATTCCTGCCTTCTGCATGCACTGAGTCTGGTGTGATCGTACCTGGAGTTGCTCTGCGACTTGATCCAGTCAAGAGTCTCAGACACCTCAGCTCTCTGCACAGGCTGGGTGTCAGAAGAGCACCACTACAAGGGGAGGGGATGAGAACATGGTAGTGGGGACAGAGATGAGGGCAGGAATGCCTCCATCCTGACTTGGATCTGATCTGCCGTGGATCTGCCCTCTGGAATTCGCTCGTTTTCCTGCCTACCTTGCAAAGGCACACAAGCTTTCACAAAACCGCTGCCTGTATTTGAGCATAGACGACCATAATTGTTCCTTAGGACTATGTTAGATTGAAGGGCAGTGGTTCTACCCAACCTACCAAAGATTTTCTAAACAGAAATATAGGGAGGACTTTTTCCTTCTGGATCTTTCATTCACTGGGCTGTGTACAGCTTTAAATAGCACTGTTAAGTTTTTTCAGGCCTTAGCATTAAATTAAAAGCCACTTAAGGTATGGTTTTGCATACTATAATTTTAAAGCAGGTGGTATTGCTGAGTGATAGGATCACATTTAACTATAAAACACTAATCTGTATGTTCTAGTGTACTTTGCAATTAATCAGCTCAATTAGAGAATAAAGATTCTGTGCAAGCAGGTACAGGGACTACATCTCCATCCATTCGCAAATTTTTTGACCGTTAACATTTCTGAAAGCTTGCAACAAGGAGCAGAGTAGCTGAAAATAGCTAATAGCTTGGGGAAAAGTATGTTGCAGTTTACTAAGACCTTGTACAGCATGATCTCTCCTGGAAGGAGAAGAACAAGGTCAGTCTCCCACAAAGGTGTGTTCCCTCTGCACTGTACTTCTGCTGTCGGTGGGTTCATGACAAAGCATGACCAAAAAATACGTGGTACACTCATGCACTTCATCTATGTTCCCCTGTGCTTGTACAGCTGGGTGACAGCTTTGCACTGGACATCCCCTATGTTTTGTGTCTTCTCTTCCATCTCTGCTGGGAATATACCCTTTACTCTGTCTGAGTCCTTACAGACAAAACTCAGCTATTTCATATTCACACACACAAACAACCTGCCACTAATGTGCTTTCCTCCTTTGTTTCTTTATGTGGCATAAAGCTTCCTTGATAAGGGCAGGTCTAGGAAATACTCTGACTATTCCATTTTGGCTAAGTGCCATTTTTGAAGTCTGATACTTCATGAACAATTTGGATGAAAGACATAGCTGGGAATTTCAGTTGACGTGAAATTTTGTACATCTGGCCTTGGCTTCTGCTTTTTGTGCTAGGGTGTAAATTCACAGGAGCCACTGTGGAACTAATTCTCAATTATGTCAATGAACATGAGAGGAAAATCAGATCTTTAAGATTTTAGTGTTGGTAGATACTGAAATATCAAGCGTCAAAACCCCTCATTTCTGTGTTTCTAGTGAAGCTACATTCGGTACTTCTGAAGGGATTTCTTAAAAATCACTAGGCTGTTTCTTTTCCATCTTTTCGTCTAGACTCAGAGGACTGGAGGAAACCGGATTTCCAAACAAGAGAACTATAAAAAATGTACCAATACTATTTTAAAAATATTTCTAACATTGTTTTTCCATTACATACAGTATAATCTAAAGAGAATAAGGTCTAATGTAATATAAAGGTTCTGCTGACACTTGTTCAGGGGGACCAGCAGTAACTGTCTTGTGTCATTGACACTCACAGGTAACATGTTCATCCCCAAAGAATTTCGGTAAATCCTTCCAATCACCCTGTGCTCTCAGATGCAGTTAGAGTGTATATTGTACATATTTTTTTCTGGCGATTTGCAACCAAGAATGACTATGAATCCCTGCTGTTGTTCACATGGTTTTGTGTTTGCACTCTCTGTCTGCTGGAATCCAGTTTCAGCTTATTTTTCTTGTGCTGGATTTTTCCTGGGGTTTTATGAGGAGAAGAACGTGAATGACATCATCAGGACTGTGCCTTGATGCCTCAGTCCACAGCATCAGGCTTTCCAGTGGCTGATTAGAAAAGCTGGGCTGACTTCTGCTGAGTTTGGTGTGTTTTTATGGTGACTAATGTTATTGTGCAGACAACAGAAGACTGTGGAAAGGCTGAAGGCCACTTACAAAGACCTATCACAAGTTATGAAGCCATGAGTATATGGGCTAATATAGAGAGTATTTGCTTAAAACCTTTCTGCTGTTTTTAGGGAGATTTTATATAAATATCATGGAGAGCAGTAGAAGAGTTTCCAAGTGGTAAAACCTTTAAAGTACTATCGCTTGTAAAGCTGTGAGTTGGGAAAGACGTTGTAACTTTGACCATGAATTTACCTGGTTTTGTGGGTTAAGTCAGTGACCCAGATAGGAATCATCCATTGTACGAGGTGATTCTCTTGGTGTCATTTTTACTTCGAAGCTGGTAAATAAAGTGTCTGAAACTCTGACAATTTTATGCCTTTGCCAATCTTTAAATCAAAAATGGCTGAATCGATTTGAGGATTTTGTAAGAAAAAAAATTGCACCCAGTCTGACATCCTGTGAACCGAATTTCTCCCAAAGTGATTTCAAATGTGAGAGTTATGGACCTCTATAATGAAAACTCTGACATATCTTGAACTATAGTAGAACACAGGGTACCTCTATCATGTACAGAAACATTGTGTTTTCCTTTCCTGCAGTTAGTACTTCATAACTGTTCAGAATTTTAGAAACATTACTGTCTTATACAAAATATCACAGCAAATTAGATTTTTCATTCCAAATTTTGTTTCCTTTAAGTAAAAATTCTGCAAACTTTCTCATGTGGTGCATTCCATCAGAAAATATTGTTATTTTATAAAATATGTAACGTTTTCCTTTTTTAGAAATGGAGACGCTAATGCATAGAGAAGTAAAGGGTTCTGACATCACTTCCAGTATCATTTTATACTGTCCCATTTCTGTAATAATAAATGAATATGCCTTTTTATTGAATGTAATGCCTTAGGAAGAGCCGAGAGATGGGAATGAATACGTGCTAACTTGTGATGGCTGATCGTTATCGAGAATTAGATGAAGTGTTGTGGTGGGCATAGGTGTTTTTATTGTGGCAGTCCTGAGGCCTCTGGCGGATTGTGACCCTATTGTACAGAGAACTGTTAAGATGTAAAGTGCATTTCTTAAGGAGCTTTTATGCCAACGGTAACAGAAAAACAGTTGGTGTTCTCGTCTGCCTCCTGAAACAATGCACACATGATTATGTGCACGCATGAATATGAATATGTGTGCATCTGTCAACAGACATAATCCTTTTCTGAAGTTTACATACACTGTTATCCAAAAAACAGCTACAAGGAAGAAGCCTCTAAGTTAACTTTATTTTATGCAGAGCAGCTCATAGTGGACTCTCTTGCCCCTCAAAGGACTCTTTCATCCTTACCACTGCCCGTAGTCCTTTTTGCCCCATGGGGATTCCTTTGTACTCTGATTCTTGAAACTGATAACGTTTCCTCTGATCTGACATTGGAGTGTTTCAGCAAAAATAATTCCCTTTTCTTTCAAGAGCCTGAAACTTGGAATCTACTGTAGATCTTGCGGAAGTTAAAAAATATAGAAGTCCATCAATGACAGTTCTCTTCCGAGACTCATTTCTGAGATTATTGCCAAACAAATGAAAATTGTTTTGAGTAACATTGACCTAGAATTGCTTGGTTGCACAAGTCAGAGGTCATGCAGAAGTCCCCAGGCTGTTCACCAAGCTGTCATACAGCCGTTCACCCTTCAATCCTCTTACTTTGGAAAAACTCCCCACACAAGCAGCACTCTCTTAAAATATACTACTGGTTTCAGTAACTGATATACTATGGATTTCAGTAGTCTAACCCTTTAGGTTAATTTCCCAAATGTTGGCACCAGATCCTAGGAACATTACAAGGTATTCTAACTAAAGCAAGTTCCCAATCTACTTTACATAAAATCTATTGCTGTATCACAGAACTATGCCTGTGATTGATTTTTTTTGCTGCCTCTCTGTTACTACCCTTCAGCAGAAAATGAGTCTAAAGCGGTTAACTGGGACTGCCTGCACTGCCACTTTGCCTGGGGTCCCTCACCCCCCAGTGCAGGTAGTGGCCACCTGTTTACCGGCTGGTTCCTGAGCTTGGGAGCAGCCATCATGATGGGCTTGGTTGGCATCTGCCATTTCCTTGTAGGCTGAACCCATCACTCCTACCAGCAAGAGCATTCACAAACAGAAAGCTGTCTTCTGGGATAATTTTCAAGGGGCTTGCCATGGTCCAGGGCATGCAGAAGCTTTTGCTGCTTCTCAGTATGTAAAAGATCCTTAACATTTCCACCTTTACAGGCAGTTGGTAAATGTCTAGCTGCAATACGGGTGGGGGGTTTTGGAAACCTCTCAATGTTAGTTGTTCACAGGTGGGCCTCTGAGTCTGAGCCATGTGCTCCTTAATGTGTATTAATGACCTGCCTGCTGCTGTCTAACAATTGAAAACTGGGTCCTTTATTTTTTGGTATGCAAGAAATATTTTAAAAAGCTCTTGCTGTTCTTAGCATACAAAAAGATGATGAGCTTGCTACTGGAGATTATTTGCAGCCTCCAAAGCACTGTGGATTGTTGCTATACAATTACTGCAGCACTGAGGTGATGCTGTTAAGAGCAAGGAGTTTTGCAAAAAGAAGCATTTACTATAGACTTTCTACAGTATTAATCAAAAATTCTTTCAATAAAAAGTCTTCTCTTTACTTGACTAAAATCAATCCCCTCTTCCTTTCTTTGTTCATGTAGGGTTTTTTTAAAAATTCTCATCTCTTTGTTCTCTAGGTTCAGTTTAGGGCTGTTGTGTTTTACCATGCAGACCTGTCTCGACTTGCTTCCTTTAAGCTTCTGCATCCATGGACTTTACTAAAATTTATGGAGCTCAGTTGAGGCTGGGAATTTTAAAGGGCCCGTAATCTTCACTGACATCTATTTTATATATTGTTTGGTGTGTGGCAGTGCCCTTGATAATCAACAAGACTGAAAGGCCCATCAAGACCTGTGCAACCATATCCCTCCATGAAAGCAGTCCTCTGCTAGGACAATCACAGAGGCTTCTTTTCACAGTGCAATGCAGAACTGATTTCTTTGGCCTAATTTTCCTTGTGTCATTTCTTCATGCACAAACATAAATATGCAGCACATCAAGTCCTAGGTGAACGAAGAACTAAAACATCTCTAAATAAATCAGGCTGCTTCTCCTGAAGGGGG